CAATTAAGACCCGAAATGGTTTATCAAATCCTTGCAATGATTGCTAAGTCAGAATCCATGTTCTCGGTTGAAATTGTCTGTGTTTGTATATGTGGATAGCCTCATGAACGAATCTCTCATGGTAGCCAGATTGCTTGCAAAGAACCTCTGTCTTGGAGAAGTCAATGTCATGTGAGCCTACTGAATTATAACAGTGATCTGCCACGGCCGAGGTGTTGGTCCTACCGTCTTTTAGGTCTGCTTTGTGTTCACGAATGCGGTCCGAGACATGTCGTTTGGTTTCTCCAATGTAACTACTACCACAGAGGCAACTTAGTTTGTAGACGCCAGGGTACTGTATGTACGGAATCACATCTTTTACATTGGAGAAACCAAACGACATGTCTTGGACCGCATTCGTGAACACAAATCAGACCTAAAACCTGATGCTGCTGTGGTTTTCACACCTGATGATGATTGCTTGTGTTGCAGTCGAAACGTCATGAGAATTGTATTGTTTAAATTTTTTTATTATTTTATTGTTTCCCTTCTACGTGACTAATTTCTCTAATTTGAAAATACATTTTTCTAGTTTGAAAACTGTCTCTAGATTGAAAATAAATTTCTCTAATTTGAAAACTAATTTCTCTAGATTGAAAACTAATTTCTCTAGTTTGAAAATAAATTTCTCTAGTTTTTAAAACTGTCTCTACATTGAAAAGTTTTTCTCTAGGTTGAAAACTAATTTCTCTCGATTGAAAACTAATTCCTCTCGATTGAAAACTAATGTCTCTAGATTGAAAACTTATTTCTCTAGATTGAAAACTAATTTCTCTAGGTTGAAAACTAATTTCTCTCGATGGAAAACTAATTTCTCTCGATTGAAAACGAATTTCTCTCGATGCAAAACTAATATATCTAGTTTGAAAACTAATTTCTCTAGATTGAAAACTAATTTCTATAGATTGAAAACGAATTTCTCTAGATTTAAAACTAATGTCTCTCGATTGAAACTGTCTCTCCATTGAAAACTAATTTCTCTCGATTGAAAACTAATTTCTCTAGATTGAAAACAAATTTATCTAGATTGAAGACTAATTTCTCTAGATTGAAAACGAATGTGTTGATTGAAAACGATTTTCTCTCGATTGAAAACTAATTTCTCTAGTTTGAAACTAATTTCTCTAGTTTTAAAACTAATTTCCCTAGTTTGAAAACTAATTTCCCTAGTTTGAAAGCTAATTTCGCTCGATTGAAAACTATTTTTTCTCGATTGAAAACTAATTTCTCTAGTTTGAAAACTAATTTCGCTTGATTGAAAACTAATATCTCTAGATTGAAAACAAATTTCTACAGTTTGAAAACAAATTTCTCTAGTTTGAAAACTAATTTCGCTAAATTGAAAACAAATTTCCCTAATTTGAAAACTCATTTCTCTAGATTTAAAACTCACTTTTCTAGATTGAAAACTAATTTCTGTATATTGAAAACTAATTTCTCAAGATTGAAAACTAATTTCCCTAGATTGAAAACTAATTTTTCTAGATTGAAAACTAATTTCCCTAGATTGAAAACGAATTTCTCTTAAGTTTCAAAACTCATTTAAAACTGCTTGTTGTGTATAGTTTGTTGTCCTTCCCCCGCACCTCTGATTAGCAAGGCTGGCTATGTACGACGTGAAAGAAGTTTAACATAAATACACTTCCCTTGACTTCCCATTTTACTCAGTGCCTAAAAATTACCATAGGGTCCCAACTCAGCCCTCTGACCTCTGAACATTATCACTAGATCCCAACCCTTTTACAAGCTTGCAAAGCAGCTCCTTACTACTACTACCCCTTGTGTTAACCGTACTCCTATAGTCCACCTCTGCTGGAAACTTGGCCCAGCCGCCTTTCACGTTTTTTTTTCGTCTGCTTGTCACATTGGCGATCAAGTGTAATGGCAGGGTCCTCAATAATTGATGAGACTCGCTGGCAAAAGCCTTAGCTTCAGCAACAGGCGACGCGAGTCTGGAGGTCATCCAGGGAAGGGATGGGCTGCCTTCATAAATGAAACATTCAGTTCTATGCTTTAAAAATACCATTAAATTCCCCTTTATTTAACGAGAACCAAAAGAGGGCTAGGCTCTATTTGCATTACTCCTGCCTCTATGTATGTATATGGGTATGTTCTTGAAATATCTAGACATCGTCCCATCGGGAAGCTATTCCAGCAAGCGAGGCTGCGTTTGCTGGGTCATGTAGCCCATATGCCCAAGCAGCTTCTGTCTGACCGAAAAGAGGGCGGCTAAACGGGCGCTGCACGGGCTGGAGAAGAGATAACCCTGATGTGGTACAGGATGATGTGGAGCTGAGTGGACTTTGCCGATGACTGGTACTAACAGCGCCAAGATCAGCCTCTGTGGAGGAGGCTCGTGAAGGACGCTACTTAGGCAATTGGAGGCAGTCGCCCTCCAGCAACAACAGAGGGCAGAAGAGCGACGCTCACAACAATGAGCAGAGCGCCAGGCGGCTTAATATCCTAAAACGCAGCGAGGTGGCATAGTGAGGAGCACGGGTGGTGCATCTGCCAGTCATCTCGGTCGGTTAGCCCATACGGCCTGAGTCTGTCCTGTGACTTGCCAGCAGCGAGAGCCTTCCACACCACGTGATGATGTCATAGTGACCTATCCTGGCACAAGCGTTATGGTGAAGTTACCATCACGAATTGGGGAATGGCGGCTGTGTCTATCAGGGTTGTGTCTGTCACTGCATGCATGTGTGTATGTTCGAGCTGCAATCTCCTGGACGAGGCACGTGGCCTGACACAGGCGCCGTGGTAACGTCACCGTCACTTCGTGGCGAATGGCGGGTATTGGTATGGGGGGAAATCTCATGAAGGCGTCCTGTTAATGACGCGTATGATAGCGTGTCGCCGTGTGGACGTCGGGGGCCGGTGGCGCAGTGGTTGGCGTGCTTCGGTCAGGTATGTCATTATTGGCGAGTGATATCCGAAACCGTCCTGGGCGTTCTCTCGGGCGACTCGGCTTTAAACGAATACCTGGTGCGGGGTGTAAATATGAGCATTGTGTGTGTGTGGGGGGGGGGGGGAGTTTGGGGGGGATGGAAGAGTTTGGGGGGAGGGGTGAAGCATGGTGACATCACACCAGAGCAGCGTTTAAGAGGCCGGGATGACCCCCCCACCCACCTCTTACCGCCCTCCCGGCTCCAGCCCGGCACCATGAGCTTCACGTGCTTTCGCTTCGGCTCCAGCGCTGGATACGCGCAGCAGGGGGCCCAACCTGGACCCTTCACCCTCGAGACGCCCCGACTCGGGGTGACCCAACGAATGGCCGATTCACCCGACCCTGCAGTGGAATCTAACTCGGCGACACGGAGTCCCGACACATCCCGGTGAGGGCTGTTCAGCCTCGCGCTTAGCCGGGGCTGTTATAGACACCGTAATCCCCTCCCTCCTGCTCCATCGCACCTCATCCTTCTTATCCTGCTCCTTATTCTTCCTCTCATCTCACCGTCTCGTCTCGTCTCCCAGTTTTCTCTCCTTCAATCTCTCTGCTCCACGTCTCCAATCTCATTCCCCTGCCTCGTCATCTCTCTCACCCTTCTTTCGCATCTCTCCCTCGTCTCCTCTCTCCTTTTTTACGATCAGAGGAAACAAGAAGATGCCCGGTGTAGTCGGCACTTTGCTTCGTTCATCATTTTTTTGTTTTTTTCCCCAATGCTTTGCTTTATGTGCCCCCCTCCCCCTTTTTAAAATGAAATATTTCACAAAAGACTTCACGCTCTGCTCTCCTCCCGGTCTCTTCTCCCTCGTCTCCAGATCTCTTCACACTCCTCTCTACAACCTTTTGTCTCATCCTCTTCTCACGACCCATCTCCTTTCTTACACTCTCTTCACGTCTCCTCTCGTCTCTTCTCTCCCTTGTCTTCCTTGTCCACGCTCTCGCGTCTCCCGGTCTCCTCTGTCGCATCCTCCTCCTCCTTCTCATGCCTCTCTCTCTCTCTGTTTGCGAGCGCACGCAGTCCCAGAGGCAGCGAGACTCATTTTATTGGGGGGGGGGGGGGGGCAGCAGACGGTGGTACAGAGAGATACATCGTATTATACTGCTATGCTTCCACATATATGCTTTCAATTGTCAGTTTCCAACACCGACCTCTCCTCCAACATCCTCGACCCGCGCACGCACATTACCCACATCACCCAACATCAGCTACATCACCCAGCGTCACCCAACATCAGCCACATCACCCAACATCACCCACATCACCCAACATCAGCCACATCACTTAGCGTCAGCTACATCACCCAACATCACCCATATCACCCAACATCAGCCACATCACCCAACTTCAGCTACATCACCCAACATCACCCACATCACCCAACATCACCCACATCACCCAACATCAGCCACATCGCCCAGCATCAGCTACATCGCCGAACATTAGCTACATCACCCAACATCACCCAACATCACCCAACATCACCCACATGACCCGACATCAGCTACATCACCGAACATCACCCACATCCAGGGCTTAAGTTCTAACTTTTCACTGCATATTGTCCGGGTCGCTGGTGGACTGGAGTAGGCAGTAAGTCAAGAGTAGCCACAGCCCTCGCGAAATGTATACTGGATGTTGTGTGCAGGGTGGGAAAATAGTGTAAACAGTACATGGGTAAACCAAAGTGTATGGATTCCTGCAATCACGAAAGCTTCAAATCAAGATTGAACCGCCTCTACGGGGAGGGTTTCCACACATCTGTTAGAGCTTTTAACAGACTACGAAACAAGAAGGCTCACATGATCAAGTCTCTCAGCAGTATTTCCTGCTGTGGTTGTTCCACCTGATGAAGATTGCTTGTGTTGCGATCGGAACGTCGTGATTTATTTCATTTCTATCTACATGACTTTACCGAAAGAACCAAAGAGTACATGGGCACACCACCTTTCATCAATCGGCAGGTCGTGCGGTGGGGCAAATTGTGCGTGCTCCCACCCCTTCCAAGACGCTTGAAAGCGTCGACCCAAATACGCCCCATCGGCGTGCTCTGCAGAAATTGCTCTTCAGCCAGCAGTGTCGCGAGCGAGGCATTGCAGGGCTGCGCCTTTACCGTCCAACCACAACCCCCTCCCGTCCCCCGGCAGGGTGACCATCACCCCGCCGCACCCGACCGCGACCCCGCGGGAGCCCTCGTACCCCGAGGAGCTGCTGTCGGGGCTGGCGTCTCTGCGCGCGAGCGAGGAGCTCACGGACGTGGTGCTGCTGAGCGCCGAGCCCTCGGCGCCGTTCCGCGCTCACCGCGCCGTGCTCGCCGCGGCCTCGCCCTTCTTCAGGGCGATGTTCGCCGCGGGGTCGATGCGGGAGTCGCGCAGCGGCGTGGTGGAACTGCGCGGCGTCGCGGCGCCCACGCTCGCCCTCCTCCTCGACTTCGTCTACTCGGGCCGAGTGCCCGCCGCTCCGGCCCTGCGGTCGGAGCAAGCGGCCGCGCTGCTCGTGGCCGCGGACATGATGCAGGTGAGAGGGAGGGCCGACGACGGCGGCGGTGGTGGGGACGTGTAGGGTGGGACGCGCGTGGGAAGGGGGTGAGTGGACATGCGGAGCCGTGCCGTGGTGCCTGCGCTGCACGTGGCTGCTGCCTGTGATTCAAAACTGTGGAGGCAGCAGGGAGGGTTGGTGGATCACCGCGGCTGATGTAATAACCCTCCCTTACCGTGGGCGTCGAGGAGAGGTCGTACCCTTGCTCGCCAGGAGGCGGTAGAGCAAGTGGACTAATTGCCATCTTCTTTGGTTCTTTCGGTAAAGTCACGTAGAATGATAATAAAATAATAAATTGATAAAATAAAATAACACTGTCTGGTAGGACAGTCTCGCCCCCTTCACCTGATGAAGGCCGCTTGTGTTGTGGCCGAAACGTCGTGAGAATATTATTGTGTTATTTTATTTTATCAATTTATTATTTTATTATCATTCTACGTGACTTTACCGAAAGAACCAAAGAAGATGAATCATTGCAGTCACGAAAGCTTTAAATCGAAATATAATTGCCATCTGTTTCCATCTGTATGTGTGTATTTGGAACAAACACAGGCCTCACACCTGCACACTGTCCCGTCACGCGAGGACCGACTGAGCAAAGGTCCTGCTGCTTGGCGGGTTATGGGTGTGGGTTGGCGGACCACAGGGAGACCAGAGTGTGTGCACTATTGGCGAGTCAGTCGTGTGCGTATGCATGTTGGGCTTCTTTCGCACCGTACGTAGCCAATCGTGGTAATCGGAGGTAGGGGGGGAGGACAACAAACTAAACACAAAAAGCAGCTTTTAAGGAATGAGTGTTCTAATCCAAATTATTTAAAAGTGCATAGCTCCAGTGGCTTCCGAATATCGGAGGAAAAGCATTCCAGACGGCCGCATACGCGCACCTTAAAGCGCAATGCAGTGACTGTCTTGTTTGATGGCCCGCCAAAAGCCGCTGCTGCTGCGAGGGTGACCGTGAGAGTTCGCGTGATGGTTTACTGTGGTTCATTTGTGGTAAGCTGTTTGTGTGTAATGAGTGCGACCTGATAACATTTTGGGAAGCCAATGCAGTTCGGCGAGCACCGGACGGACACGGTCAAATAGAGTGTTACCCCTTCACTCGCTTGGGTTGTCTCCGGATGCTTCGGTTTCCTACATCAATGTGGCAGCAGGACCCACCTGAAAACGAGTCCTACGACTCAGTGTTGCTTCTCTGGATAAAAGTCAATTATAATTCATTTTAGGGTGTGGACTGTAGAAATACGTGGAGGGGAGGTGAGGGTGGACACGTGCGTAATTTGGGAGGTCACACCTCTTGAGATATTCTTCAGATCTACGTGGGGCCGGTGTGAACTGATAACGCACCTGGAACAGGTGGAAATTATAAAGGCTGACACATCTCTCCCACTGGAGATGCATCCTTCCGACATAAACTAAACTAAATTAATACACTTTTTTTTTTTTCCAGGTAAAGGCCCACTGAGCTATATAGCCCTTTTTCAGAAGCGATCTATCACAAATTATAGCTCAACGAACATGGCTTATCATGTGGAAATGTATATTAGCCAAATACTCTAAACGCATGCTTCTAAATGTGGAGGGAAAAAAAAAACAGAGGACTCGGAGAAAAATCTATGCGACCACGGGGAGAGAGACACCGCAAACTCCAAATATACAGCAGGCGTCAAGCTTGGGATCGAACCCATGACCTCCTGTATACCAGGCGAGATAGTTAACATCTCGCCACCGTGGCACCCCTACCCACGTGTGTCCACTCGCGTGTGGCCGCGCAGGTCATGAGCCTCAAGGCGAAGTGCGAGCGCTCGCTTGTGGTCTCTGTGAGCGAGGAAAACTGCGCGGCGCTCCTGGCGCTGGCGGCGCGCTTCGGCTGCCCGGAGCTGAGGGCCGAGGCCACGACGCAAGCCCTGGCGGCCTTTGGGACCGTGTGGCCCACGGTCGAGTTCCTGCAGCTGCCCCAGGACCTCGTGGAGGAGCTCCTGGGAGACCTGAAGCTCAACGTGGCGAGCGAGGAGGAGGTGGCGCGCTAATTGTTTCAATGGCACAATCGTTACGACTGCACCGCTCTCAGTAGGAATCCCCAATCCCCACATCCGCGTTGCTTTACCTTTCTGGCCTCTCTGTGCTGTGAAGGACCATTGCCCGAAACGTCGACTGTTATATTTATTATTGTTTTATTATTAAAACAGTTACATCTTTTTTTTCTTTATTTCAGGCTGTTATTGACGAATGTTTTGAGATGTTTTTCTTACCTTTCAAAAGAGACGTTTGTAGCAGTGGCGTAGCTATCGAGCGTGCAGGCGGTGCAATGGTGGGCCTTCCATTCCGTGCACTAGGGCCCATGCCCAGCGCGCTATGCTGAGGGCCTCTCACGTGGCTATGCAGTCCGTTGTAATGATAATTCCCGTGAATGTAACTTAAAGGGTGACGACTGTGTTGGTGGTTGTATCCACTATTTCTGCAGTAAAGCTCTAGCACTCGATTTTCAGGCACGTGGGACCGGAAGCTGGATTACCCGGAGAAAAGCCACCACACACACGTAAAGACACCGCACGAAAGATCCGTACAGACGGGTCAACGAACCCACGTGTTGTACATCCTGTTCTCCTATAACGCGGGAGTAGTTGCGTTCCTGAAGGAACACCGCGTGATGGAAAATCGCGTGAGGTATAAATTATATATAATATAGGGTAAAGCGCAATCCGCGAGGTGCGTGGGGAGCATCTAGAAGCATCCAGCAGAACCCCAATGCCTTGTGTGATGCTACACCAAGGCGGCCGTACAACCGCGTATTCCTACTCGCGCAACGCAGTTCTGTTCACTCAATCGCGTTATATCCAATTAGCTTAATGAAAACACGCATTATAGGAGACCGGAATGTACTTCATTTGCTACCCACCTCCACGTGATCCACCAACCCTCGGATCACAGGCGCGTGTCGCCCCCCTCCCCCCGCCGCCCCCTGCCCCGCCCCCCCCGGCAGGTGCTCACGGCAGCCGTGGCGTGGCTCAAGTGGCCCGGCGCGGAACATCCCCGGTGGGAGGACGAGGAGGCGGCGTACGGCGTCCTGCGTCACGTCAAGTTCCCGTGCCTCCCGGGTGCCGCGCTCCGAGCCGCCGAGAATCTCGCCGCCGAGTTGGGCCTCAAGTGCCGGCGGCTGGTGGAGGAGGCGTGGAGCTACAGGCTGAGCCCCGCGCGGCGGGAGGAGCTCAAGTCGGAGAGGTCCTGCCCGCGGCCCTCCACGGGGCGCGTCGAGGCGCTGCTGCTGATGGGCAGCGACGCCAGCGTGTGCGTGATGCGGCCCCTGCTGCCGTCACCATCACTGTCGTCGTCGTCGTCGTCGTCGTTATCGGCGTCATTGTCAGCGGTGTTGTCGGCCGCAACATCGTCATCACCGTCAGCCTCAGCGTCATCATCGTCAGCCTCGGCGTCATCAGCAGCAGCACCACTGCCTTCATCAGCTGCATTGTCATCACCAGCGGCAGCGTTTGCATCTTCGTCGTCACCAGCAGTAGCTGTAGAGTCGCCCGTATCATCACCACCAGCAGCAGTCGATCGCGAGTTCTCTTTTACGACTCGCATGGCACGGCTACCGCGGCCAACCTCCTCCACCTCGTTATCGCAACCGTCGTCGTCATCATCAGCCTGTGCGCTGATGCCCACGTCTAACGCGGCGGTGCTGGGCGGGTTCGTGTTCGTGCTGTGCCGCAAGGGGCTCGGGGGCACCGAGTCGCTCTGCAAGTACGAGCCGTGCGCCGACGGCTGGATCGAGTGCCGCGCCCCAACTCCCACCGCGGCGACGACGACGACGACGAGGAGGAACTCCCCAGCGCTCGTGGCGGCCGGGGAGCGCCTGTACCTGCTGGGAGGTGGCGTGCGTTCCGTCTCCTCCTACGACCCCCGCAGTAACACGTGGAGGGAAGCCGGGCACCTGGAGCTGCCCGTCGCTTCCCCAGCGGCCGTGAGTTTGGGGGGCTGGATTTACCTGTTCGGAGGGGAGAGCGACGGCACCGGCGCAGCGGGGGACTCCCGAACCGCGGGGGGCCACGGCGGCCCGGCGGTGGCGGCCGTGCAGCGCTACGACCCGCGGAGCGAGACCACGGAGCTGCTGAGGGACATGCCGGTCGCCGAGCTGGTGTTGGCCGTGGCGTTCGAGGGCCGCGTGTACCTGGCGGCCCGGGCGGGCGGCTGTCCGCCGCGGCGCCTCCTGCAATACGACCCGCAGCAGCAGGAGGCCAGCGGCGGCGGCGGCGGCGGCTTCACGGAGCTGCCGAGCGAGACGCCGAGCCGTGCCGCGGCGCTCACGGCGCTGGTGGTGCACGGGGCGCGCCTCTTCGCCTTCTCGGCGCGGTTCTACGCCCGGCGCAGCCGCCCGCGGGACGCTGCGTGGGAGGCGGCGCGGCCGATCGCGGGCTTCACGAGCGTCCGCGACGCGGTCACCTTCCCCCTGGCCTGCGCCACGACGCCGGCCCGAGACGCGCCCGCCGCGGCGCGTCGGCAGCTGTAGTATGCAGCTCTGTAGGGACTGCTGATGGGGGTTCTTTCCCATGCACGTTGAACTTCTTTCACACCGTACGTAGCCAATCCGTGCTAATCGGGAGGTGCGGGGGGAGGACAGAATGCACAACGCACAACAGGGTGCTTTCAACACGTTGTGTGTCGTTCGAAACTAATGGCAAGTGTTACGTGCTATGAAGAAGGGCCATTGTCCGAAACGTCGCCTATCGTTTCCATTTATTGCAGTGTTATTGACGGACGCGTAGAGTTTGTGTTCGTTGTTCTTGTGTTTCACTGCGTGCGCAGCATTAACAAGCAATGTAACGTGTTCAAGGGTGTTTGTGTCTGTTCACGCGCGCGTTGCGTCTTGTCAAGCGCTCCCGTGTCCGATGAGAATAGACGGACAGCGTCATAACGAGCCTGCATGCGGCGTCACTGCAGCTCAATGGACACAGGTCTCCGTCTGTTCACACATGAGCACAATAGTCGCCCTACAACTGTTCTACGCATACTCTTTGGTTCTTTCGGTAAAGTCACGTAATTAGAAATACAATTAAACAAATCACGACGTTTCGATCGCAACACGTGACTTTACCGAAAGAACCAAAGAGTATGGATTCCTGCAGTCACGAAAGCTTAAAATCAAGATTGAACTGTTCTACGTTTCTCTAAGTGTACTATGATCAGTCTAGACATGATCTGCCCGTGCCGACTTACACTGCAGGGAATTCATGATTTAACGTTATGTTCGTGCGCTGTTTTAAGTTTCTCGTGTGACAATTGTTTTTGCATCGATTAATATTATCTCCATTGCTGCAGTTTATTTGTATTTGCTTTTTGTTATTTTCGCGACCCAGGTCACTTGCCAACAACACTCATCTTGGTCTCTTGAATTCTCGCCCTTAAAAACAAACTTGAAACTGTATGAAAAATAAGAATAGGCTTGACCCTTGAAACTGCTTGTAGACTGGGTAGGTGTTCTTGTCTGGGTGAACCTGGGTCCACTCAGCCTTAAATGAGTATTGTACCTGGTGTGGTTGGCTACATACGGTACAAAAGAAGGTAAACATAATACAATGGGGAGGCAAAGGCGGCCGGGCGTAATGTTGGTCACCGTGTGCTGCACCGGCTTTCACATGTGCTCACTCACAGCACTTGCCCCAACAGTCTGTTGAATACTATACGGGGGATATTTGTCTTTGTGTGTAGGTGTTCCTGTGTGTTAGCCTGTACGTGAAAGGGGACGCAGTGGCACAGATCCACCAACAATAAGCGCCGGTGAGCTCATTCAACAGGCGAGGGAGGATACATTGGCTGGGTCAAGCAGCCCGCATGTCCAACCACCGCATGCCCGAACACAGGGGTCGGCAACCTGCGGCTCTTTAAGGACTGCTTCGTGACGTTCATTATGAGGACCGTCTCCTATTCACATTACGGCTCTTAAAATATTTCGTTTTTTTTACCTAATTCCCCAAAAATGGCTCTTGTTATTTTGGTTGCCGACCCATAACCCTCGCAGCTTATCTTTGGCCAGACAGGAAGCAAAATGGGTACGGCAAGGGCTGGAGGAGGACTAATATGGTACAGGAGGCTGTGGAGCTGAATGGACTTGCCGATGACTGGTACCAGCGGTGTCAAGATCGGCCTCTGTGGAGGAGGCTCGTGAAGGACGCTATTTAGGCAATTGGAGGCAGTCGCCTTCCAACAGCAATGGGGGGCGGAGGAGCAATACTCACAACAATGAGCAAAGTACCGGGCGGATAAAATACAGCAAGATAGCAGAGTGGGAGTTTAAAATAACGTAATACGGTTTAAAACAAGCCTGACTTTATGCATTATACAAACATGAAGAAGCGCATTGTGATCCGCTAGTCTTCGGACATCAAAATAAATGTCAGCAAATGTGACTGACTGACAGCAGCAGCAGTGATAAGACAACTGTAGACCGGTTTCATCATTATTAGGACTCATCAACTGCAAAGAATGCTGCTGGAGTACTCTGTATGTGGAGGCCCCCACTTACACACTCGGGGGACCCGCCCATTCGCTTGGCTAATACTGTTCTGATAAAAAAATAAACTTTGTTAATGATGGGAAACGCTGTTCCAATTAGTTTTTTTTAAATCGTCATTTACAGCGTTGACAGTGGGGAGTGCAGGTGGAGCATCCGGCAGTCAACTCAGTGAACACCTGGCCATGTCCCATGACCTGCCAGCGAGCCTTTGACACTTCAGGTGGCCTCAAAATGGCACACCAGCTTTTTTTTCTTTTACCTGGTAAGGCCCACTGAGCTATTTAGCTGTTTTTTTCATAAGTGACCTGGCCACAAATAATAGCTAGTGACTTGTGGTATTTTAGAGCAGCCAAATACTCTTAAACGCACGAGCACGACTGTCGGGTAACGTCACCGCCACTTGGTGGCGAATGACAGCTCATTTCTATGCGTAGAAAGCGGTGGCAGTAGGTACGTATTATCAATTGTGCTATGAAGCTGATAACTTAAATTCCCAGCCATGGCTACCATCACGTAGCAAGTGATATCTGAATCTGTCCTGGGTTACCATATATTGACTCGGCCATAATTCAACACCTTGTGCGGTGTCTATACATCAGCAATGGGGAGACAAAGGCGGCTGGGCGTGGTTTCCGACCACACCACTCGCTCGTGCGCCGTCCCGGTCTTCATTACATCCTCGCTATCAAGCACTTGCCCTGACAAATCTCAAGGGGTATAAGGGATCTTTGTGTTTGTATGTCCGAGTTTGAACGTGCGAGTGTGCGCGCTCTCAATTATATAGCACTCCACCATGTCGATTAAGCTAATCGGGGATCTGTAGTACGTGTGTGGGTGGGAGGGGGTACACTTAGGGGAACACTAAGGGGAGAGAGAGACGAATCGAGGGACAGAGTCCGTAGCGAGTCTCTAAAATAACTTCTCTGCACACACGGCGTGCCACGAGGGAGCGAGGAGACGGCGCTGGCGGTGTCCCGGCTTCGGCGATGAGTGCGAGGGTGTCCCTCTAGGCTCATCAGCGAGCCATTACTGCAGATGGGCTGCCTGGCAGAGCAAGTGCCATCAATAATGCACCAAGAGACCGAGAGACGCGGGTAGAGTGGCAGGGTGAGTGGGAGACGAGGCAAGGACACGGGGGAGGACTCCAATTCACATGATGGTTCAAGTGCCTCTGATCTTGTATAGAACTTTACCCAAAAGCCAGGCAATTAACATTTGTCTACCCGATTATTAATACAAATAATTGACCTCCCATAAAGTGTGATGCTGAAGCGTTTGGAAAGTGGGAGATGTCCGATATCGGTCACTAGTATCAATCTCAAAAGAGAGTTGGCTGTGTTCACAATGTAAACATAAAATAGCATTTTGTTCCATCAGCCTCTGGGCCTCCTGGACCAATTATTTCCACCAGCATTTGTTCAAGCAATCAGTTCACATTATGACGATGCACAATACATCTTGGAGTGTTGCTGTTCTGCCATCCACGAACACGTAACGGTGGTACTGAGCGGCTATTGTCTTTAACATCAGGCAACCCAACAGAAATGTCTCAGGCCACCACTGCGTTGATGAGACTTGGAGAAGTCAAAATCGGTGCAGTATTCTCTGTTCAAACAAATGGTGCTGAATAACCATGGTTCAGAAAGCCAAGAGGCTGAGGGACTAACCTGTGACTTTTTTTTACTTTTGAAGACCCGTGTATCTTTATTATTGTATTATAATCATGTGTAGTTTTATATTGCGTCGTCATTCACGAAAATTGCATCTCGCAAACGTCGAGGAACCACAAACCGGAAGGCATCATCAGCCTGATTGCCAGTCGCCACTTCGAACAATTGCCCAAGCTCTGCGGTTCGCTATATATTCGTTTTTTTGTCAGCCAATTGTTGAGTGATCATACATGTGGGATGAAAATGAATCACCCGGAGAACCCCCACGAATAGTGAGGGGGCAACACTGTTCCAGACAGGAGAGACGAATGTTATCAGTCGCTGTACCGCCTTCTCTTGGCAAGCCAAGGTATGGCAATTCGACGCCCATAGGAAGGGAGTATAACGTTTGTCATCCATCAACCCTCACTGCCTCCAGTGCTGGAATAGAGGCGTGCATAGCTTCCACCGTATTACTCACAATCCACTAATGATTTCTCGATATAGACGGTAGATCTGCTGAGTTTAGCGTGTACCATCCGAATCATGCTGGCTATGTAAACGAGGCCTTTCACCAATACATGCACAACAGGCTTGAGCCTGCATAGTGCTTGGATGGGTGACCGCCATGCACACAATTGGTGCTGTAGGCCGCAGCATGACTACCATTTAATCAGAGGGCACCGCAGAAATCAAAAGCTGTACTAAACTGTGCGCCTACGTCTATGTTCCCCACATAGAAAAAGTACGGTCAAACAACCATAACTCGCACGACATGGGGAGGTCCTTATCCAGCAGTAGACTGGACAAAGAGCCGTGTATGAACCCGAGTGCACACGGGCTTAACGTGTGCGTCAACACGAGACGACTTCTCAGTGTGGGACGCGTTGTGCGGTACAGACCCCAAGGTCTGCGGTTTATCGATCACAAAAGCTTCCCTTTACATGCATCTCCAACACACAGGTGAGGTGGAGGGTTCGCACAGAGCAGTTTAATTTATTCACCGGTTCGACGTTTCCAAAGCAACAACAATTTTGAACCTCCGGGGCCGAGAGGGCCCAACTCCACAACCCAAGTGTTTATAATGAGAGGCGTGCAAGGTGTCAGCGTCTCACCCCACACACCGCTGTGATTATTTTTACGTTCAGTTCGATGGCTTTGTCCACCGACACTTCTATCAGGAAGCCACTTCGGCGAACAGCGACATCGTCGAGGGACGCGGAGTGCACGAGGCCACGCGAGCGACGGGCAACTGCAGGCTAAACCGCGAGGATGCATTGCAGGGAAAACCCAACACCCGAGCGAACATCTCGAGCAATCGCCCTCCTTCGCAAGCCAGCGGTGCCCTTCGGATATAAAGAAAAAAACGGCATTAATTAATCCGTGAATAAATGCAACTGAATGCCAATTTCATTGTTTTGGCCTCCTGGGTATAGCCTGCCAGTTCACCTTTCCGCGCGGGTTCGTCACACTCCCTCATTGATCGATTTGAAATGGCCGGGCCTGGGAGTGGTTCTGCGTATTCGACGGACTCTGGTTGTGGATGGGGTTGCACAGTCACAGGCAACAAGTAACAGAACCCAAGTTTGGAGCATTAAGCTTCCTGGACACACGTGTGTACACGTGTGTGCACATGTGTGTGTGCGCGCGGGTGCATGTGTGCGCGTTCACGTGTGTGAGCATCACATTACCAGAATGTGCAACTCGGCAAAAACCCGAAGAGAAGCGATGCAGCCAAGCTGCCAGTAACAATATGCAAGTCGAGCCCTGTAAACAGTCGAAAACTAGGGGTGGAGTTACCGGACGCACTGGACTGGAGCACGAAGCTCAGAGGAAGAGAAGGACGTTGGTGCAATCTGCTCCAGTTTGCTCCCAAAGATCCGGTCCGGGTTGCCGATAATCATTTCCTCAAACCCATTGTGTAGTTCATGGGCTCGGTTTTGAAATTACACTTGTCGGTACCATCCAATGCGGTAAGATATTGACACCAATTGTGATACGGTCAATCACTGCGAAAACCTTTTCAAAGGTTTTTATTTTATTTGATTAAACACGCACCTTTTACATCAACAAGCGCAGCTGTTGGCCGTGTAAAATATTGATGCAAGGAGTTTCTGACCTGGAGCCATATCTGCCCAGGCAGTGTGGCAAGCTAAAATTTGAAGTTTGTGGCAATAACTCTTCATCATCCTCATCATCAATATCATCAATATCATCATGCCAATTCTGGCCGTGTCACAGCTGACGTGCTGCGGCTCTGTAAAGACAAAAAAAAAACCTCGGTTCAGAATCGTGGGCCAACCTGGAGCGGAGGGACTTGAGACAAATCTTTGGCCAACAACGGCTCAACGTACAAAAAGGCCTCCGTCAAGGAGGGCGATAAGATAAAACATTTACATAGAAAAAGAACCCTTACACCATGGGTAAACGAGGGAAGGCATAGATTGCGATGATGCAGAAGAAGGCAGGGCAGGGGGGACAGAGTTGGAAGCGGGGTGTGAGATAGGCGCACGCTTTCCCTGCCCCATTGCGTGCAACTCCTTCGGACGAGAGGTCGACAACCGGCACGGAGCCAAGGACCGGCGGAGCGATCGAAAAACAACGCCCCCGACGCCTTCCCTCACCCACCCACCCAATTCCCGGTCGGCACTCGCAAAACGTCTTCCCAGGTCCCCCGGAGTGGATTCAGTTACTCGCAACATGATTCAGTCACTCGCAACAGAACACGGGTGACTTTCACGCGGCGTCATCGTTACGCCGTTGCGTTTCAACGGCCGTCCCCACGGTGGTGGGACCCACCAAGTTGCATGGACAGGCTTTGCTCTCACCCGGGAGAGATCAGCGTTGGGATAACAATATTAGCAACGGTCATAAAACGATTTGCTTTGTACTTTTATTATTTGTACGTTCCGTATAAATCCCACTTCTGCATCGATTCCGACAATGGCATTGCCTCCCCGCCATTAAAAGCCTTCGCTGAAATGTAAAGATCACGGTGTCCCGCAGCTGGTCGGCAAAACGAACACGCAGCCAATCACACGGCAGCATTCGCGCGTCGCGCAAAACTTCTCCAACAAAAAAACAATTCGTTGAGCTCTCCAACACGTGTCCGACTGACGCCGTGAGGTAACCGCAAATCCTCGAGTGTGATTGGCTGCACCAATGTGCTTCACGATTGCCTCTGGATTCACTGGCCCCGGTCAGGCCCACAAAAATCTGCGGAAGCACCACGCTTTATTTTGAACATATTTAAAAGTGTCGTCACCCAGTGCTCACAGGGAAGCGCCGATAAAGATGCATGCAGTGCGGTTTAACGTGGGCGCCGCGGGGAGGAATTTAGCAAGGACAATCGCTTCGTCACTCGGTCGCACGCACTTTTTTTAAGGACATGTTCAACCCGCTCACTTTTACCGTGGCCCGATTCATAAACAGAAAAACGATCAACGTCCACTTCCAAAGAGATTTGCTCCGAATCGCTCACCGCATCATATCACCAACATCAGTGCTGAGAATAATAATTTCCTATTAGGTTTTTTTATCAACACTTCCAAATGTACTACGGTAGAGTCATGATATGACACCAATTAAAAACTCTAGCCATACGAATTTGGTGTCAGAGAATGGCCCCAAGATTGTTTCTGAAGTCCCTTCAACAGGACTTCGGGGCCACAGAACAGCCTTCGATAGGCCACTCATGTCTCATTTTTGCTCAATGCGGAACGCAAATATCTGTGCCAACTTTGTCCGTAGTGTATATTCTCTCTGCACCCCAGGTCCCATCCTGCAAAGAGACTCTCACCTTACCATATATAATATTAATAAACGTATGCATTTTCCTTGCATGTAAATCAAACCAAAATATTTAATCCCCAGAGCCAGATTTTAGTCGAACAAATGTGACTTTTTTTAAATGCAGTTATTGGTGACCGGGCGGGAATGATCAACTCACTACTCTTTAAATTATCCAGTTTAGTCATGGGTGGCTGAAACCCGGATTCGAAGCCAGGATCTCTGCGACATCAGCTTCAGTGTCTGTCATGGCGCTGGCCTGCAGTGATTATTGACGGCAGCAAATGACCCCACAACCACTGGGCTTAATTTAAGTGAGCGCTCCACAAGTCGAGTAGCGCAGAAGGAAGCGGACAATGCTTTCAGCACGTCGTGATGAGAGTTAACGTCCGACTAATTGGGGAGCGCCCGCACGCTGCCGCTACTTGGTTAAATTTCTCTTCGCCATGCCGGCTCGAGGGGAAGTCGCCGTCTCCGCCACGGAAAGCGCTCGTCCGCAGTGCAAGTGGGGAGAGGAGGCATGCGCGAGCCATCGCCGTGCACCGACGATGGGCGTCGCGCCTCTCTCGCGCCGGCAGCGCGTGCGTCACCCCCCCCCCCTGCACCCTCACTACGAGTAGCCGCTCCCGGCCGAGACTCGCGATGACAAAATGATCCCAATGCCTCCCTGTTACGGCGATGAACTGTCGAGTTCTCCGATCGTTCGTCCAGTTTCCAGCCAAGTGAAGGTTATGGACCATCGATGGTCTCTTGAACACGCGAGAGTAACTCAATGTTGTAAGTAGCAGTGCCCAATTGAGACATTGTGGGAATTTAAACTATAAAGACAAACGCTTTTGTTTTTTTCAAAAAATACAGGGTGCAAACTGCAGTGCAGTGCCAGCTCAGATCTTCACACATCAACCAGTTTCGGGGCAGAATAGTACTCAACTCCTCTTCTCCAGGAGATAACATCCCCCTAATTTATTTACGGAATTCGATGGACTGCACCATACAACAGTGCTGGAACAGTGCTCTCACCCTGACACACAAGGTCACACCCTGCTGATGAGACTCTGAAAGCAGAAACCCGATCCAGAGTTTGATATGAGAACATACGTTTGCTGGGATTGGTCCGCAGAGCCTTGGACCAATCCAGACCGACAGGCTGATGGACTCTAAAGGCTATATATATAATTCAAATGTGACCGTCAGATCCCTATAGGCGGTGGACAATGCATGCGATTCACTGGACACTCGCCGGCCAATGACTTCCTAATAAACGCGTTTGATTGCCAGGGCTCGACAGGCGGCTAACGGAGAGGGCAACGGTCGCCGCAGAACTCAACGGCTCCTAGCCACGAGTCGTCGGCAGTCTGCAGCTCTCCCAGTTTGGTGACGCGCAACGTCGTCCGCTGCGTAATGCACGAACGGAGGGGGATCGCCAGACCCCAACCAAAAACTCCAGACTGCAGACGAGGAAAGAGGCGATGGACGAGGTGGCATGGGGGGGGGGGGGGGTCAAGGATGGTCAAGAGGCAGAGTTTGGTGGTGGGGGGGGTTTGGAAGGGTCCAGGGTTCGTGGGCTATAGTATGCAGTCCGCTGGAAATTATACAAATATACAAAACACGACACGGGGGGGGGGGGGGGGTGAGGGGGGGTGGGGGGTCACCCTAATAATGAAGGTGCACCCAGGAAAACACTGATCAGGTGGGGGGGGGGGGGAAACAACGAAAAATGAGCAGCAGCCACACTGCACCGATGAGGGGCTAAATATACAAAACAAAATGAACGGTTTACATCGTCGCACAACGTAGGCTGATTGATGCGTCGCAGCGCCGAGCTGTGGACGCGGCGCCGGCTGGGCAAGCGGGCGGGCGGGCGGGCGAGCGGCTCGCTATTACTTCATTACTGCACACGAGCCGTCGGTGAGGGGGGGGAGGGGGATCTGGCGCTCCGCACGCAGAGGTCACGCGGTGGTCATGGCGCAAGCAGCGGGCTCCGGCGACGTCTCAATGATATAATTACGCACGTCGTGTGCCCAGCATGCACCAAGCATCGCCCGTGAATGTGTCTCGGAGGGCGGGAGATACGGACAGCGGACAAACGACTTTTTCACCTAACCCCGCGTTTAACCCCAACATGATGCACACATATTTTTTTTTATTTTACTCTTTTTTTTTTCTCCATTCGCAACTGCAATTTCGGCCAGCCCGAGGATTTAACCGAGGAGGGTCTTTGAGGTCGGTCGTCTTCCCTCGCTTCCTGTGTCGCGTTCCTCAGTCCTACTCCTCTGTCGCTCCCTCTCTCTCTCTCTCTCTCCGCTCGGGTGCGTTCTCTGCCCCCCGCTCGCTCCTCCTTGGTGTCCGCCCGCCTCCCTCTACGAGGCGTGCGCACGAGGCACACGCACGCGCCTCGCCTCGCCTCGTCAGTCGGGTGGGATGAGCACCACCTCCTCGATATCGTCGAAGCTGTCGATCTCCACCATGGGCGAGAGCGACGCGGGGGGGGGCGGCGGCTTCCACGGTGACTCGGCGAGGCACGACGGGTAGAGCTTCGCCACGGTGCACTTGAAGTCACGGCCCAGGTCCCAGAGCACGCGCTCCGACACCTGCTGCAGCAGCTCCCAGCGGTCGAGCGCCGCGTCGTAGCGGTACACGGCGTAGCGCGGCCGGTCGGCCAGGTGCGTCTCGCGCAGGAACACGCACAGCGAGCCGAGCAGCGCGAAGGCGCGCACGCACGGGTCCGAGTAGCGGCGCGCGGGGATGCAGGCGCGCATCTCCCACGCGTTGGCCTGCGAGTCGAACACCTCCACCGAGATGGAGGAGCCGTTGAGCGTGCCCGACGGCACCCTGATGCCACAGCCGCCGCCGCTGATGTGCAGCCCGCCGATGTAGTAGATGCGGCCGTCGAGGGCAGCGGCCGAGGCGAAGCAGCGGCTCGTGCGGCGCAGCGACAGCTCCGTCCACGAGTCGGCCGCCGGGTCGTAGCAGAAGGTGCGGTCGTGCGCCATGGCGTAGACGCGCCCGCGGCACTCCACCGCCGCGCACCACTGCCACGGGAAGGGGGCTGGCGACACAGGCGACCACGCGTCGCGCCGCACGTCGTAGCGCTCCACCGAGCGCCGGCCCGGCTCCACCACCACCTCGCCACCCAGCGCGTACACCTGGACGCGCGCGCACGCACGCACGCAAACCCTTAAGCACACGTGTACGTTTCCGCCCGCAAGAACGTGCGCGCACGGGTGATGGTGTACGTGGCGGGGGTTGGTATTGTAAAGGGTGGCAGGGAGTAGAGAAGTTGAGAGTTGGGAAGGCAGAACCAGACGGGGCAACTGGCACACCTAGAAAAGGGAGAAGAGAGCAAGGTGAGGAAGGGGGGTAGACGGTAAGGAGCAGTGACCGTAGAGAGTGGAGTTGAGGCGAGGATCGCACTTCAGGGAATGTCACGAGGAAGGAGCAGAGGATGGGGGCAAGCGAGGTGTCGGCGGGGGGGGGGGGTTTTGGGAGACGGGACGAGCGAGGGCGATGTCGGCCGTGCGGTTCCACCCCCTCCCCCACCTGCGCACGGCAGTAGACGAGCGCCGGTTGCGTCCGTGCCTGCAGCATGGGCGCCTTGCCCACCCAGGCGTTCTGCTGCGCGTCGAACCAGTAGAAGGAGCGCACCGGCACGCGGCCGTGCGGGTGGCCTTGCTGCGGCGTGGCCGGCGCAGTCTCCGAGCCGCCGCTCGCCCCGAAGCCCGGGGAGCCCGTGAGCGCCATGCCCCCGGCAATATAGAGGTCGTTGTCCGGCGTGACCAGCACGCCCACCTTGCGCAGCTCGCCGGGCGGGCTGCACAAGCGGTAAACCTGTGGGGTGCACACGAGGGGTAGGGGGGGGGGGAGGGGGTGCAACCGTCACGACTTGATGCGTCGAACGCGGAGCCAAAGAGGGGACTCGGTTAACCCTGGCTCGGGGTGCCGAGCCTCTTTCGTACAGATCATGCATTCAGATTCTTGGTGCGGCTAAATGAAAACCCGGTTAATCGGGGTACGGCTAGCTGAGATGTTACCGTATATCTTGCTTTCAGCCGTAAAGTAAATTAAAAGAACGTTATATATACACACACATATTTATATCAATATATATTTAAAGGGTATTGCCTTTCCGGCCTGAGGGCTGTAGCAGATGGCCGCCTGGGCTCCTGGGCGGCTGCCCTCATCCCCAACCGGCACCTCCACAAACACCACCATCTCCTCCTTGGTCATGCCCAGTCGCGGCTTGAAGAAGCGTGGCATGGACTTGTAGAGGCCCTGCACCACCACTGACTTGTCGTTGGGCGGGAGGCCCTGGAACCAGGCGCGCTGCGTCACCTGCACAGCATGCCACAAGCAAAGATAGCACCACAGAGACCGCCGCCACGCGGAGCTGGGACCACCTCGGCTTATGAGGTTTTTCTTTCGTACCGAAGAAATCTGCGTGGCATACGTAAAGTTCGAAATCCAGTTGATGGAATCAAGGGACAGTGAATGTACTAAGAAAACTATTTTAGATTTTACCAGGTAAGGCCCACTGAGCTATATAGCTCTTTTTAAGAAGCAACCTGGCTACAAATGATAACTCAACGAAGTGGCTTGTTACGTGGAAACATATAGCAAACAACTACTACTCTAAACGCGTGTTTTTACACATGGATGGAAAAACCGGAGGACCCGTAGAAAAATCCACGCGACCACAGGGGAGAGCATGCAAACTCCAAATATACAGGCATCAGGGTCAGGATGGAAACCAAACTCCTGCATACCAGGCGACAGAGTTAACATCTCGCCACCGCGGCGCCCCATGCATTCCACGCAGTCCTCCTGCGAATGAGCACAGCAACCGCGCGTTCACCAAGTAGGCCATCGTTTGTTTGGCTGCTCCATGGTGACGCGTTGGAGATTCGTTCATCTCCCATTTACGGAGCAGGTGTCCACACCTTCCGCTGGACCGTGCGGATGTGGCTCACAGAGGAGCATTGCGTGGGAGGGAGGCCGCAGACCAAGAGTGACAAGGATGCTTCGCAGGATTGGAGTTGATGCGACAGCCACTAGTAGTGGCTGGGCACTCTCATTACAATTTTGAACTGCACGCACGTGCCACAAGGCCCCGGATAAATTTAAACTGGGGTACCCTGGCAAGATCGGAGTCATCGTTTAGTGTTTGGACCGCCAGTCGGATTAGTGTCATTCCAATTAATTTATAACGTCTAATTGCAAATTCATCTCAAAATGCTGTACAAAACGGAAATGGGCTTTGCAGAAAAGGGAGGGTTCGTGTATTTCTACTCAAATGTGTGAATGAACACACTTCGTAGAGAAGCGACAGTCAGTCATGGGCAGAGGAGAAGAGGAAGATCTTGTGAGCGTGCAATTGAACAGGGGCCAACCAATTAGTGTAGCCAACAAATTCGCATGGATGACTACGTACGGTGCTAAAGAGGTTCAACATACATACATACAGTAGTTGGTTAGTGCGTCAGTTGCGAGGATGAGTACTCGAGGCTGGTTGGTAGTTGGTTAGGTTGACTTTGGTTTTGGTTAGTGGGAGGGCTGGAACTAGTGGGAATTTGGTTAGTTGATTAGGGTCATTGTCAGGGCTCGTGATAGTGGCTAGGTGGCTATGGTAAGGGATGGCATTTTATTGGCTACTTGCCACCTCCTCCCCAATGCAACCTATGGCCTCTTTTGTTTTTTACCCACATTTGAGTTGCTGATGTGCCAAGCGCCATCACTCAGCCGTCAGCGAAAATGGTGGCAATCCTCACCCCGTGTCTTCTAGGGAATTGTTTAATATTTCGATTTAAAGCCTTCGTGACTGCAATGATTCATCTTCTTTGGTTCTTTCGGTAAAGTCACGTAGAATGAGAATAAAACAATAAATTGATAAAATAAAATAACACAATATTCTCACGACGTTTCGGTCACAACACAAGCGGCCTTGTGTTGTGGCCGAAACGTCGTGAGAATATTATTGTGTTATTTTATTTTATCAATTTATTATTTTATTCTCATTCTACGTGACTTTACCGAAAGAACCAAAGAAGTTGTTTAATATTATCAACAGTTATCATGAACGTAGAAACCATGAGCTGGGGGGAACAGAGGTAAAAAATAAAGAGGACATTTTTAATTTAACGGTGCATCGGTACGCGCCGAACGCTTATGCAACCGGTCATAAGGGTTAAAGGGGCCCAGCCAGGGATTGCAGCTTGTGGGATGTGGGGTTGTGAGGTCATGAGGTTGTGAGTTCGTGGGGCAAGGTGTGGTAGGATTTGGAGGCGAGGGTTCGCATGGTGTCATGAGGTCACGGGGCTCAGGGTCACGTGGAGGGGGGGGGCAGCACCTCAGACAGCGCATCGATGCGGATGTGCCCGAGCACGGCGGAGAGGTACTGCGAGCGCGACGACGGGCTGTACTCCAGCCACAGCATGGCCGCTTCCCGCACCGTCTCCTCCTTCTCCACGTTGAGGTTGTCGCTGCCGAGCACCTGCGGAGGTGATAATGAAACATTGCTATCAAATCCCACCGCATGACCCAGGGTGATCAGTGCAGGTTGGTTAAGTCAGGAAGCATTCGAGTAACTTAACATCTTCGAATTTGCTGCACCACTGCCCTCTGCTGACGACCAAATGGAACAGCCCTGTGGTCACCTAAAATTAATCTCGCATGCATTTGCGAGCACTATCCCGGCTCAACCTTGCCATTAGCTTCCGAAAGGTGACACGATCGGACACGTCCTCCTTGGTGAATTTGTCATAGGCAAGAGGGTAATCTAAAGGAAATCACGATGATAAAGACGTTGATAAAAAAAAAACGCATAAACTGGTACTGTCCTTTCCGCTCCTCCGATGAGATCGGCTGGCTATGTACTGTGCCAACATACATACTTACTTAAGCGAGTTACAATTCCTCTGGTCGCACCGGGACACTGTCAGAAAACCCCTAAACGGATGTCACTGCCGCCGTTGTCGATGCCATCGGACGTTTCTGTTCCGCTCACCTCCATGAGCAGCTGCGGCTGGAGCTGCAGGAAGTGCTCGTGCCGGCACAGCGCCGGGAAGCGGTGCTCCACCATACGACGCGCCGCCGTCTTCAGCTCGCCGCACGCATACATGTCTGCGAAGCCGAGCAGGTGCAGGCAGTTCTCCGTGCACACCTTCTTCACCAAGTAGTCACGGCAGCGACACACCACCTCCTCTACCTGCACGAGGCAGTGCAGCGGTGGGCGGCAGAGGGTGGCGGGAGGGAGGGAGGCCAAGTGAACATGATGCTCTTGAAATGCAGACACATTTGTTATTTATTTTAATAATTGATTTTTTTTTTTACCAGAGTGTAGTACAAATATGCTGTCAGCGTCCTGCCATGAAATGAAGGAGGAACATGAAACTCCAGCATAGGAGTGACCACCCGCCCCCCACTGTTAGTAAACAGCTCATGGTTTTGTTATCATCCACACCCACGGGGCTGAACCACTTCTGAACTACTTTCCTATGTTCACGAGCAATAACCAAGGGCCATTTCTAGAAATGTCGCTGTTTATGTGTTTTTTTTTAAGGAAGTGATATTGACAAATGTGTTTCGGTTATTTGTTACTTTCCTGTTTGCATTGCAGTAAAAAAAAATGTTTTTCCCCAAAATAAAATTCTGTCAAATTATGTGAAAACCGAAATTTAAAACAACGGTTTCATCATCAACTCACTGCACTTGAAATAATCTCTTAAACACGGATGGCTGTAGCATCTCTGCGATACCACTGAGTGCTCTGACCTTCGAGCAACCTAGCCACCAGTATCCCTAGTTTTAATTTCAATGTCAGAGTCATGGACAACACCGTGTTTATATGCCGGGTCTTTTATGAGAATGGCGTGGAGTAATGTGGTGCGCAGTAAAGGACAGCGGAGGAATGAGGTGCAGGGCGCAGAGTGACGCGGCGCTAATAAGATGCGGTGCGGGGTGATGCGACAGACCTGCAGGAAGGTGGCCGTCTCAAACAGCTGCTCCGCCACCCCGTCACTCATCTCCAGGTGGCCGGTGTACGCGTAAGCCACGATGATCTGCAGCGTCGCCGAGTCCACGTTGTGCAGGTTCACATGGGTCTGCTTGCTCTCACTCAGCCCGCTCATGAACATGGCCCTGGGCGGGGAGGGGGGGGTTATTATTGGAGGGCAAGGCGGTTGGGGAAGGGAAGGGGGGGATAAGGAGGACAACAGTGGGGAGAGTTTGTTATTGCCAAGCCAGCACCAACATAGGCATGTGGTGCTTATTTCAACATGAACTTTATAAAGAAAAATATAAATGCACTTGAACATCGAGAAACAATGGACGAGTCAATCCACAAGGTATCTTTTGCCGAGGCCTTATTTGCACAACAAATCAATGTCCACTGAATGCTGTGGCCCACTGTTTGCAAGTCAATCCTCAGTGAGCTACGAACCTGGCAACCAGAGTTCGAATCCCGGCTATGACTAACATCAGTGTCGAGTGATATGAACCGGTCCTGGGGTTCAGTGCTTTACCACACCGCACTGACACAGCGCGATGAAGTACGGTCAGATAGCCCCATGACCCCCCTGACATGGGAGGGCTTTCATCCAGCAGTGGATTAACAAGGGGAAGCTCATTATTTTACTTTATGTATTCAATCCAGTGAGAGTCCAGAGGCTCACCATCTCTTGTGCAAGTGAGACCTGGGTAATGTGGTACCATTGAACCCTGTACTATAGAAATCAGCGATGCTGTCACATGGTTAATGTCAGCTCATTTGATTTACTATTAGTTCTGTCTATGTTATAAAGCTCAAGAACACTGTCCAATAAAAATGACCCAAGGACATTATCTAAGTCAAAACTACCATCAACAATGAATGAATGTTGCTCCGTTCAACATGAAAAACCTCTGCAGCTCAAGCACTATCGCGTGTGCTACTGCGTCTCCAGACCAAGGGCCGATGTCTGGATGAATTGAAAAGACAATTGAAAGGGGGAGCAATTATTCAGCCGGTCAATATCAATTTGTGAATGTGTAATGTTATTACAATATGAAGAGTTTCATTCCGTCGGTGTCTCGAGACACCGTAAATCAGTGTTCTTAATTGCAAGGCTTGCACGGGCCAGTGGCTGTCCCTGGTGGCATTTAGTACGACCCCTGACAATAGGCAAATGTGAAAACACCCCCATCATCGTGCTGCCAAACCCCAATGTTTTCAAATGTGAGATGTCTTACGTGCCCCCCCCCTCTGAAAATTAGTGAAGAACACTGTCGTAAACAAATACTATATTTCCCATTGCTGCTTCGTACCAAGAAGGCAAATTTGCTCTCATATTTTCGTCACGATGCGAAAACTTTCATCATTAGTCACCGCATCGCTCTTATAGTGCTCACCCTGCATGCTAATCCCCTCCCCGTGCATCATCCAGCCAGACTAAAAAAAAACAGAGACGCTGACGCAGACCCAACATTCACAAAATCAATACAAATTATAAACTCCAGCGCGCACAGCAAGTTCTGCGGCTTGGCATGAGCAGTGATTGCAATGAGGTCTGGAAAGTTCTAGAAAGTGCTGTGTTTAAAAATAAAAATCATCAGCCATAAAACAATCCATTGCCAGATGCAGGCTTCCAAAAGCATGCAATATCCATCACGGTCCAGTGATGTAACAATCCACCTAGCACCTGCATAAAACCTGATTTTATAAATCCATCTCCTCAGTGGATATCCTCTTGAGCGTGTTCAAAGTGAATATGATGTCTCTAAAATGCACGTGTGTTATAATCCATGTGTTCCTTTCTATCTCTAAAATGAAACTTCCAAGCACTCATCTTAGCCAGGCGGTGGTGCCGTACACCCGTAATCCAGCACTGCGGAGGCAACGTTTGTGTGGTGGATCACACAAACGTTGCGACATGCCCTTTCCGTGGCTGTTGAGATGCCATATCCTGGCTCGCAAGGAGAAGGCAGGATAGTGTTGACCCCTCGCACGTGAGTTTTCTCCAGACGCTCCAGTTTCCTCCCACATGTAAACGCTCAATCATAATTTGCCAATAACACTTTCGGGTAATATACAGAGTATCGCAGAGCTTATGGGACATTTGGCACCGGTTCAACCGCCCTTCCCCGCTCGTCTGTAGTTCCTCGTACCTCTGCATCGTTCTCTCTCTTCAAGAGTGACATATTACTCAGTGGTGCATTACAAGTTGATGATATTACTTTGTTTATCTCTCCATGCTCTTTTGCACATTACTCTGCTTTTCTTACATTGCCTTCAGCAGTGTCTACGTGCTTATTATCCCTGTCACAGCAGGTACTTCACACAGGCCACGGACCGGTACCGGACTGGTACCGGTCCGTGGCGTGTTAGGAACCGGGCCGCACAGCAGGAGTTGAGCGGTGAGACCGCGCGTGGCCCGCCCCCATTATTTTATTTACCACTTCCGTCCGCGCCTCTTGTCTCAGTCACAGTGTTGGTTAACCCACAAGCTAACCCCCTAGTAGCCAAAATGAGTAAAAAACAAACGTCGCTGGAGAGCTTCTTTGAAAAGGAGGCAAGACCCAATGATGAACCCCCCCCCCCACCGTGAAAAAATTGTCTTCCACGAAACCTGTCCCTGGTGCCAAAAAGGTTGGGGACCGCTGCTCGAGTGACATTGATATCTATGTTGCTTTTCATGATTAAGTTTAGCTTTCCAAAGTCCCTCCAAGTAAATGTCATGTGCCAGTTCATTTCAGGATTCTTATCGAGGTCTGCCTTCAATAACCGACCTTTTGATACGATGACCAAAATCCTTTTTTTCATAATTTTTAGTGGAAAATCATTCAAATAACCATGCACTTTATTTATCCAGGAATGCCTCATTTGTTACCCAGGTCCCTCTTGATAACAGTAAAAATAGTAATGCCAACCAGTTCCCCAGGAAAGTTTCAAGATTCTTAAGACTTTTTTTTCAAGAAGGTAACTGCATTTGGAGATTCAGCCAATTTCATTAATGCGCATTTGGCATGTGAATGAAACCAGAGAACCAACATTTTTTTTATCCCAAGCATACAAGGGGATAATACACTCACAACGCCATGCAGATTCGTTCATGAATCCATTTCTGTAATAGCAAACCTAATACACTCAGTTTATCTCAAAATGGTAAGTGGCAGAAATATTGGTAAATTAGCTCTTTTTCATTTAAATACAGGTAGAGGGGTTAAACGGTTCAAAGCATACTGTTCTCCGAACCAGATGATCTCAATTCCATTCCCGATCATGGCTAACAGTGAAGTGATGTCTGAACCTCTGAGCGATGCCAAAACCAGTCCAGGGCGACCCTTCCGCTTCACCAACCCACACCGACCAGCATGGTAAGGTATGGTTAAATCATTCCCATGACCGACACTGCACGGGGAGCCCTTCGTCCAGCGGCGGAATGGGAAAGGGCAGTACATCAGTGGAAACTGTACAGGCCCCATCATGAGATCAGGGGTGAATCTCACAAAACGTTATAATTTCCAGCTTCGCCACGAATGGCACAGAAACTGTACATGTGCTCACCGTGTCGTGAAGTGCAGTTCAAACGTTGCCCGGCTTCAACCCTTCAACAGCGCTAAACGCGGCATGGCCAGGCTTCGCACATTGGGCATCCATCGCTAGGTAAGTCATGGTCACAAAAGGAGTCTGTGCGTGTGGGCGGACATGATGCGAGTGACTCACGCAGGAATGTGGACCCGCATGGACGCCTATGTGCACGCGAGCTGTGAGGTTGAATCCTGGGTTAGAGAACACACGACCTCCTCGTGTGCTGTGCAGATCTTAATGGTTGCTGGCAAACAGCCTCAACTCTGTCGTTTTGCATGTGTGTAAACGCATGTGTTGCACTCAATCTCGTCAGAAAATTTAAGTAGGGTTAAGCCTGAATAGCGCTTGGATGGGCAACCACCATGCATGCCAGGTTGTTTTGAGTAGCAACGGGGCTATAATGGTGGCAGTAAACGGCAGTTTAGCAAAATCCATTGTTTTACTGAACCAGGCTCGAACATTCAGGGGCCATCTTCCTTCATAAGCTGCACTGTCTAGCGTGACATGACGTACGGTCAAATAACTATTCTTTGGGTCTTTCGGTAAAGCCACTTAGATAGAAAAATTAACTCCTTTAAAAAAGTTTTTTTTTTAAATAACGGTTTTATTAACAACTTCGTTTAACTCAGGGTCGAGAAGTACGTCAATGGCGCCTGAGACCAGCGGCGCCTGCTTTTGTGCGAGCCGACTCCACAGTTTAGGGACCGCGGCGTTTTTGACCTACACAAATATATAAATAATAAGGCGTCCATACAAAAAGTTAATTGCTTTAAAGTAGCAAATTAATTGATGAATTGATTAATTGACGCCGAAGTTGATACAGGCATGCATTGTCACCGGATCTGAGTACGTGTGCAAAATGTGGAATTGATTGGACAACGGGAAGTGGACGAAATTTTGATTACAAGATTTGACCCAGACAAACAGAGGAATCAAGTGAAGTAAAACCGTTGAATAATAAAAATATCACGACGTTTCGATCGCAACACAAGCAATCGTCATCAGGTGAAAAAAATATAGCGGCAGAGCTGCTGCAGCAGGATGTTATATAGGTTTGAGATGGGTTTAGCCCAAGGGCGTAAGTGGGCGGGGCTAGAGATGGAATTTGCATGTCAATGTAAGATCGCAGCGCTGATATATCGCCACGACGACGCAGCTGTGCTTCAGCAGCTCTGCCGCTTTATTTTTTTCAACCGATGACGATTGCTTGTGTTGCGATCGAAACGTCGTGATATTTTTGTAATTTTTCTATCTACGTGGCTTTACCGAAAGACCCAAAGAATATGAATTCCTGCAGTCACGAAAAGCTTTAAGTCAAGGTCAAATAACTGTTACGACAACCGCGCGCGTCTGTGTGCGCGCGCATGCATGTACGCGTGCGCGCGAATATCGGCTCCACTGACCGGAAGTAGGAGCTGCACGCGGCCAGCACAGTCCGGTGGCACGGGAACTCGTTGCCCTCGGCAACCAGCACGACGTCGGTGAGCAGCTGGCGCTCGTAGAAACCGCGCAGCTGCTCCAGCAGGCACACGGCGTACTCCGCGTCCACGCGCCGTTCGCGCCCGCACCCCTCTGACATGGTCGCCGACGCGGACTCGCAAGCGGTGGCGAAAATATGAAGGGGAGGACAATCGGGCGGGACGGGCGGCAAGCCGGCGCCTTGTGTGGTGGGACGAGGGCGACGATGGGGGGGGGGGGGGGGGGAGGAGGGGGAGGAAGAGGAAGGGAGGTGCGCGTTGGGCAGGGTAGAGAGACCGGGGTAGGCGATGGGATCCGGTTGCTTTGGGGGAACGGGGCAAGGGGAAGAGGGGGAGGTTGCACGGCTCAGGATGCGCAGCTCTCTTCTTGCCAGAAACAAAGCTCTGCAACTGGGCAAGAAGGTTCTCCCAACGAGCAATCAAAGATTGCCAGGACTCGTAAAACGCTTTTTTTTTTAAACTAAAGGTAACGATAATCCAGTTTTATCCCCCCCCACCCCCCCCCCCCCCCCCAAAAGTTTTCCACGAGCAGTTCTTTGGCGCGGTGCGCTGGATGTGTTAACGTTTCAAAAGACAGCACTTGTAAGACCTAACCTAAACAAGCGTTTGCGCTTCTGTTTCTTCATCGGTTTTCCCTGGAGGCGAACATCGGAGAGGGGCCTGCGCGTTTCTTGGAAACGCCCGAGACGTTATCATAAAGTTGGCGTGCAGGCGGTGCCGTCGTTGGCAGCGGGGCGCTCCCACGACGCACCTCTCTGGTGACACCGCGCAATCATTTTCGTCCCCCCGCGGAGTCGGCGGTCAATTGTGTGGACAGCGATGGTACTCGTGCTGCAGGCGGGACCGGAAAGCGGGTAACAAATGCACGCCGCCGTCGATGCAGCAACCTGCTTCGGCCAGCCAATCCTGCGGAAATAACAAGCGGTGTTTCAAGAAAGGATGTTGTTTCCAATCGGACAGTTTTTTTTTTTGTTACAAGCTTTAGATGCGGAGTGAGGCTTTATCCGATCGTAATGTTTCGACGGAAATGATATCAACCATCCTCCATGGTTCATAGCATCAGTATGACACTACAAGAATCTATTTTTAATTGGTCCCTTTAACACTGTATTAGGTGGAACTTGTTTTATGGGCGTATCCATAAGATCCACTGCATCTCTGCAGATTTCATTGTATTCAGGCTGACTCACATCTACTAAAAATCAAAACAATGGCGTTTTGCATGGGTTGACCCCATTATACTACATGGGAACCCTTTATAGACTGAGATTAAACATGAAGCGTTACTCCGGGATCTCTGAGATGATGAAACAGTGTTGATGTGTGTAATACATTCGTTCCTCGGCCACCACAGCTACAACATAGCTTAGCACGGAGTGCTGGGTGGGTGCCTGTGGGTCCGGATTACTCAACAGTGTGCACGTCAACATAAAATAATGAGCAGATGTGTGACCGGACACTTGATACAGAGCTCGCATGTCATAGTAGAAGATTGCTTGACGTGGAAGATGAGCTGTGTGTGATCCAAGAAATCTAAAGTTGGCCATCCTTGCCACGGGAACACAACGATGTCCTTGTCATTTCCATGGTGTGGAAATGAACCTTACGGCGGGACCCCGGAGTCTCATGAGCACTTGGCTCTCGCATAAACATTATTTTATAATGTAAAGAAAAACTCTATTTTTCACCAATGGGTTTGAAGGATGGTGGCAAGTGCTGTCTTGCTAAACTAGACCTTTAAAACTGAAAACTACTTACCTGCAGTACCTCTATTTAAATACACTAACGAAAACATAATTTACACCCCTGTGAATCATCGGGTTTCTCAGTGTGGATTTGTGAACGCACTTTGTTACAGCAGATACAATAGTACGCGTTTTCAATGCGCTGTTCATATTGTAACGAGCGTTTATACCAATGTTACTCTACGGAGTAGTGTGCCGCCGCTCCCCTTATCCGCATTGATACAAGCGGTATGTGGGGACTATGGCTTAACCGCAAAAAAAACTATCTGCACAGATGCATACGGACAAGAGAAGTATTGAGAATAGGTTTCCCCCTTTTTTGGCAACAAAACAGGTGTTAAGATGTCAAAACACCAAACTTAAACCTTTTACAAGGAATCATGTCTGCATTCACCACAATACTTGTGGTCAGAATGCAAATTAAAAAAAACGTTCTGATAATATATGCATTGACTTTGAAACTGAAGTATTATCAAACAGGAGGCATTAACGGTGCAACGCATCTCATCTGTTAAATATCTGCAGGTAATAGGACTGTCATAGATTGATACTGGCTGCAGACATTGGTAGGTCACAAATAATAATGAAGATAAGAGAGCAGTTTCACTGTATTATGCATACCGTTATGACAAATAAAGGACTTAAGTCGTGTAGGCAGTTTGGGCAGCTTTGGATAAGACTTATGATCCTGCCCATACCCGAGCATGGAGCGCATTCGCTTGTTCAGCTCTTCTACGCATTCGTCCTCGCTGCGCTTGGACACGACACGACAACAGAACGATCCGCGCCGGGTGGGTCGCGGCGTTTTGTGTGCGCGGTGGGACGGAGTCGCCAAAAAAAATGAATTACGATTTTGACTTCCGTTTATTCGGGACCCCGGGGGTGCCGCCATAAGGTTCAAATATCCATTTAGCATGGATTTCGTGCGGTAGATTATTAAATTTCGCTGCGCGGATTACAATTCCACCCCCCCCCCCGCGTTTTTGAATGAACCACACAGCTGTTGTCCGTTTCTTACAACTGCTCATTCATGAGGCGAAACGCAGGGAGAGGGCCCTGGGAGCAGATGAAACGTTTGAGTGGAGTGACCACGCATTCTTTTACGACCAGTCCCAGTGGCCCCTTATTACATGTAGCAATATAATCCGATTTAGTTGCACCAATTTAACTTATGACAAAAAAAAGTTTCAAATAAAAAAAACCCCATCATCTCAATGAGGTCGTTTGATCTCCTTTCGTAAGTAGTTGAAAAATAATAATTATTTATTGTAGTGTCAAAACAACGCGGTCGAATGTGAAAAAACAACTCAAGGCCCATCAGCCGTGTCGCAGCGTGCAACTTGCAGCGACTACTACCACCAGCGCCGTCTTTGGTTTCAATCTCTTTCACGTCGGGAGCGAATACAAAAGCGCACGAGCGGTCGGAGCGAGTCACGCAATCAAACACGTCGCGCGTTTACCTCCACAAAGGCTGTCACCGCGAATCGACGGTCAGTCACGGGAACCGTACCGGTGTGCACGCGCAGCCCGTTAACTCTGGGTCGCAGACTCGGAACGAAAACAATGTATGCTTCATGCTATTTTAGAGCTATGTCAACAAATGCAGTGTCAGCGACGAAGGCGGTAAAGACGTTGCTCGTGGTAAATTTGTTTTAAGGTTCCAGTTATTTCAATCGTCGTGAACGAATGGATTCGAGAGAAACGGAGACTTGAACGCGATACCTGGGGGTAGCAGCACCCTGCGACGACGTTCCAGCGAAGTCACATTGCTGTACAGTGGCAACGCGCCACGCTATGCCGTGTGGTAAGACTGCATCAGTGCGCGCGTCAACACGTACGTAATTAGATATACGAATTACATAGAAGGGGGCTGTATTTCCTCATAGTACACACCGGGATAATTACACGAAACCCAGTTATTGTGTGTAGTCATGCATTACATTCCTCCGGTTAACACCAATGACATAAGGCCTAATTACACAACAACATGACTTCCGTCTCGCTTAATGAAGACAGATCACGCAAAAAACCGATGTATTGTATCGCTCGTGTAATAATGGAGCAAAATTACATTGAGCATTTTTATTGTTTATCGTCGAATTGGAGTCATTGAACTTACCCCGGTTTGCCGTCTCTTGTAATAACGCAGGGGTTAAACACACGGCACGGGTTACGTCTGATGAATCAAGGACACTGGACATATTTGTCTCGTATGTAATAAACAAAGGCTACTCAAAATGAACCGGGTTTGCGGTTTCTTTGCGAAGGAGACACCGATAACCCGGCGCACAAACCAACTCGAGCGTTCTCGGCACCAAAAACAAAAACCGCCACCAACACCGCCACCTTCCCCGCCACAAAACCAAGCGTCATTCACAGCCTTCCTCGCGTGAGTTCGGGATTGCAAGACTCCCCAAAAACGAACGATACCAACAACAACCCAACGCCAAAAAGCGCGCAATCCCGGCGGAAACCACCTCTGGGCTATGCAGCCCTACGGGAAGAGATGCAGCCATAGCCCGGGGGGGGGGGGAATCCAGGCAAGACCGAGGCTCCGTGAGGACCTCCGGCCCAACTAGGCCTTCGCTCCTCCCGCCCTCGGGCAATCGCGGCGGTGTGGCACCGAACGCGGGAGGCGGGGGACAAAAAAACAACAGACTGTACGAGAGGCAAATACCTCGCGCGGAGAGAGCGAGCACCGCCTACGAGCGGGATGCCACTCCTAGGAGCGCGGTTCAGGAGGAGCGTCTCGAGCCGTGCGGCCGCGGGCGGAATCGGCCGGGAGAGCAGGCCAACGGTGGGGGCCGCGCCGGAAGTTAGGCCGCATGACGTCACGGCCATACCGGTTCCGGTGGCCCCCGGGTTTCCTTGGGAGGGAGGTTGCGGGAGCGGAGGGAAGGGGGCGGGACGAGAGGGGCGGGACGAAAAGGGGAAGGGGCGGGGCGATAAGGGGACGGGGCGGGGGAAGGGGCGGGGCGTGTGAACGTCGATTGTTGTGCACGAAGCCGCGACTCATTCTTGGTTCTTTGGGTAAGGTCACCACGTAGAAGGGAAACAATAAAATAATAAAAATATAAAACAATACAATTCTAACGACGTTTCGACTGCAACACAAGCAATCATCATCAGGTGTGAAAACCACAACAAGAACATTTTATTGTTGTGGTTTTCACACAACAAGAGAATTGTATTGTTTTATATTTTTATTATTTTATTGTTTCCCTTCTACGTGGTGACTTTACCGAAAGAACCAAGCATATGAAGCCCTGCAGTCACGAAAGCTTTAAATAAAAATTGAAGCCGCGACTCTTTTGTGTCGAGTCAAACGATGGCCACGTGATCGCTTTTATTATTTTAAATGTATTTTTATTTAAAAAAATATTTGTATCTACGTGACTTAACGTGTGGAATTTTCACCACCGCCTTTGGGGCTGTAAACTGCTCGGGTAATGAAGGTATTACTTTAACTAGTGGCGCCGTTAAGATTGCTCACTCACTGCTGTGCCCGGATAATGTTCTGTCTGTAGGCCCCCTATATCCGAGGTCTGGTGATTTGCAAGTGCAATGCTCTCTCCCAAACCATTATTATTATTAGCTTAGAGTCGCATCGTGCTGCGTATCAGGGTTATCACGTCGCGCGTGCGTTGGTGCGTACGCGAATGTCTATGGAATACGTGTTTGGTGTTCTACGCACGTCTCTGCTTCTTTATGAAATCCAAGATTCTCGATGTAAGTGCAGTGGCATCGGGGGATGCCACTGCATGCCACGTGAGGCCGGCCCGTGTGTGGAGCACGGGACACGCTGCTCACACGGCAGTTGCGCAACGTGCCGTCCGTGTGCACCGTCAGCCCTCGGGGCGAGAGCGCCGGGAGCGGCGCAGGGGTGACAGGAGGCCATGGCACTGCGGATGAACCCGGAGGGCTAGTGGGGGTGGGGGACCCCGGGACCGGTTCCAGGGGCCTCTGGAAAGGTCGAGAAGGGAGGCGTGCCTAGGAGCGGAGGAAGCCCCGGGACTGGGGATATAAGCCGGACTCCTGAACGTGCCCGGCGGTTGTTGTTGGTCTGAAGACACGAAGACGTCCTCCTGAAGAAGAAGAAGAAGAAGCACCGGGGTCAGGACCAGGACTCGAGTCAAGAGTCCGGCTTGACGGCTTCCCCTCCCCAGTCGCGTTCGGGCTAGTTAGTCCGGAGGGACTCCCTCCCCAGTTACCTGGTCAAAGGGGCAGCTGCCCCTTGTATTAGCAAATGTCGTTATAATAAACGTGTTACCTCCAAGAAGCGTCGCTCTCCCTCTGTACCCACTACATAAGCATTGGTATTTGTGTACGCCTCTGGGTCACCCTATATGCCTCTCAATATATACCTCTGTGGCAGGGGTTGGCAACCTGCGGCTGCAGAGCAGCATGCGGCCCTGGAAGGACTGCTTCGTGACGCTATTCACATGGATTGTGGCTCTTGAAATATTGCGAGGGGGATTTTTATACCTAATATTAAAATATGACTTTCTGGTTATTTTGGTTGCCGACCCCTGCTGTATGGGTTTCTGTGTGAGTCTATGGGTCTCAATGTGAGTCTGTAGGGCTCAAGATGTCTAAGAGTCAGTGGGTTTATGTGTAAGTCTCTATGTGATTGAAAGATATTTCCGTGTGCACTTTCCTTCGTAGTTGCGAATCCCCGAAGAGTAGTTTAACACGCAAGCTTTAGCGACAAATATTATTCATAATATTATTCATAACATTTTTTGGGTTAGATCGCGTAAGTATGAATGTGTCGTAACCCTCCACCACCCGACACAACCAGTCAGGTTTGTCACGTAAACAAAACGCGCCAATTAGTGACTTCTAGATTTGAAGCTTTCGTGACTGCAAGGATCCATACTCTTTGGTTCTATTCGGTAAAGTCACGTAGGTAAAAAATAAAATAACAAAAAGGATGTCGTTCCTAACTTACATTACCCCGGGGTTTACAAACTGAGCTGCACCTGTGGTGACTGCTATATCGGGGAGACGAAACGACATGTCTCTGACCGAATTCGCGAGCACAAATCAGATTTGAAATGCGGCAGAACGAATTCTTCTGCCGTAGCTGATCACTGTTACAACGCTGTGGGTGATCACGATATAGTTTTCTCCGATACCAAGGTTCTCTGCAAACCCACGGGTTTTTATCAGAGATTTGTCCACGAGGAAATTCAGATTTACAAACACAGACACAATTTCAACCGAGAGGATGGTTTCAAATTAAGCAATCATTGGAAATATGTTCTAAATCAAACCAAACATTACACTAATTTTCAATGGTACAGTATATTTATTCAAGTAGTGGTATTCCAAACTTTCACAGCAGCTTATTTCCCTTCACACCAACATTATGTAAACACCCCCCCCCCCCCCACCGTGCCGGTCCAGTACATCATTGTTATGCTAATTCCTTTGTCAAGGCGTTTTTTGTTTCCTCCCACACAGCTTAAAGGACGCGACCTGGGCTTGCTGTCTTCACTCCAACGCTGTCCTCTGGACAGTCTAGTCCCTTCACCTGATGAAGGCCACTTGTGTCGTGGCCGAAACGTCGTGATTTTTTGTTATTTTATTTTTTACCTACGTGACTTTACCGAATAGAACCAAAGAGTATGAATTAGTGACTACTTCAGCCTACCGGCGTGTTGGAGAGTAAATCCACAACATTTACGAATTGAATACGACGTTTCGCTGGTAATTACATCCAGTATCATCGGCTGATTTCCCAGAATAGTCACCCCTAAGAGCAATTGAGACTCTGCTGTTGTACTGGCTCGCCAGCTTGTAATAGTACATTGGCGCTTTACCGCACTCCACATCGTGCTGAGTTGTGAGCCTCGCCTGCGGCTCTCCGGCGCCGTGATTCATCCACGTGGGTGGTGGTGGTGCCGTCACTACCGCCAGTAGCTCACACGGGGGCAGTGTGGGCACATCAATGAAAAGCGACACAACAACAACCGACGTCACCACGGCGGTTGTTGTTGAGGCCACGCAAAGCGTTGAAGGCCCGCTGGCATGAGGCCACGAAACATACCCAGGTGCCATGGGTTTATTGAGATGACTGGCAGATGCACCGACTGTGCCAACTTTCTGCGTTTTATCCGTCCTGCGCTCCGCTCGTTGTTGTGAGCGACGCTCCTCTGCCCTCTGCTGTGTTGTTGGAGGGCGATTGCCTCCAACTTCTCAGGAACCTGCTCCACAGAGGCCCATCTTGACACCGCTGGTACCAGTCATTGGCAAGCACTATCAGATCCACATCCTTCTGTACCACATCAGTCCATCTCTTCTCCAGCCCGTGCCACGCCCGTTTAGCCCCCTCTAAACACTCCCTCCCTGCCAAGTAACAACATAATCAAACAATACAATAGGCCTTATTCGTGCTTACACATAAAGATACTGTACAAGTATTTTTTACACATTCTATCATCCACACGGCAGTCTGGCAGTGCACAATTTCAGCAGCATTGGTTCTAGCAAAATAAAATCCTGAACCGGTTTAAACACTACCCGGCTTGCTTCGTGAACTGCCCGATGTTTCGAGGCAATGACCCTTGACCCCCAGTCCTCGCCCCACAGGTGCAGCTCTTCGCAGTTAACGTCAGACGCGGCCAGCATGTAGTAGCATAAACTATTGAACTAAAGTATTTTGTTTTATATGTAAGGCCCACTGAGCTATATAGCTCTTTTCAGAAGTGACCTGGCCACTTTACCGAAAGACCCAAGAATATGAATTCCTGCAGTCACGAAAGCTTTAAGTCAAGATTTCACAATTAATAATAGCTCAACGAAGTGGCCTTATCACGTGGACATCTGTTGCAGCCAAATTTGTGCTCTAAAGGCATGCACGTGAATATAATAGATTAGTGGGACTCACGGAAATCTGCACCTCGAAGGGTTGCGAGGACTGGAGTTTAAGACCGTAGCAATACACCGCCAAAGCGATTCGATTGAAATCTCCACTTGCTTTCTAATCGATAATATTTCTATGATTTTTGGTCCTCTTCGTTGTTCAAGTTTCGAAACGTTCGCACATCATTCGCACATATAGTATGCATAGAATTTAAATACATCATAAATAACCGAGTCTCAGACGCACGATCTGATGCATCGTGTGCGCGCAAGAATCGCCTGTAATCGATTAATAAGTGCATCGTGATGTGCCTATAAATTACTATTTTGCAATTAAATAGCCACCGTCTCCCTCGCGATTCAATTATGTAACGTCTATACTGTTATTCGCCTTCATGGTGAGGCATAAGTGAGAAATTCCCTACCACATGCTAGCAAATAACAAGCCAGTTCTGTATGGGTCTCGTTAAAATGGGAGTGCAGCAGTGAGCTACGCCAAAAACAGACTCCCAAGAACACACACCAGCGTATTTTAATGGTCCTCGTAATTATTACGCATCATCAGTGGGCCATGTCAAGCTACATCTTCGGAGATATTAGGGTCTTATTAGTGAGCCATGGCCGTACACAAACTGTCAATAAGAGCCCAGTCGGTGTGATGGTTGTTGGAGTTGGTAAGGATCATCAGTCGGTTTCATCTTGACCCTTGACGCATGTACATTTGGAGTTGACGTGTCTCTCTCCCCGTGGTCGCGTGGATTTTTATCCGGGTCCTCCGGTTTTCTCTCCACATTTAGAATCAACATCACGCATTTTGAGTATTTGGCTGCTATAAATATCCACACGATCGGCCACTTTGTCGAGCTATCATCCGTGGCCAGGTCGCTTCCGACAAAGAGCTACAGAGGCTCAGTGGGCCTTGCCTAATAAAATAAAATAAAAAAGTAGTATTTTTGTTTTTAGTTTAGACATAATCCACACAGTGGTGCATTCAGGTATGCACTTCATCACGCGTTTCATCACGAGCCTTGTCGACAGCTACCATGGCTGAAACCCACGTGTCCGGTAGGGCTGAACGATTAATCGATTTCAAATCGAAATTGCAATTTAGAAAACAATGCGATTAGAAAATCGCAACGGCTGCGATTTTTTGCGATTTGCAAAGTCCTATTAATTTCTTATTGAAATTGTTTATTTTTAATTATTATAACTTTATTTATTAAACTTATCAATTGTCCTATGTTTGATTGTTCTATTTCAATTAAAACATTTTAATAAATACATGTTGGAAGCAATACATATCTTATTCTTAGCTCTTTCGGTAAAGTCATGTTGAAAGGAAACAATAAAATATATAAAACAATAAAAAACATTCTCACGACGTTTCGACCATAACACAAACGGTCGTCATCAGGTGTGTCGGTTTGCATTAATATATATTTTATTATTTTATTGTTTCCCTTCAACGTGACTTTACCGAAAGAGCTAAGAATATGAATTACTGCAGTCACGAAAGCTTTAAATCAAAATTTAATACATATCTTTTTAAGTTCTCATCCTTGCATGAGAATATACAGAGCAGTTCATATTTTTATGGTATCATGTGGTAACGCTCCATCACGTGTTTTCAATCTATTACACAGTGAATATTGAACTGAAGCTTGACTTAAACAATGTAATCGCAAATCAAATTTCAATCGCAATGTCAGAAAAATCGCAATTAAATATTTCCCCCAAATCGTTCAGCCCTAGTGTCCGGCCCAGGCCCGCGACAACCTTCCATAACTAGTCAAGACGATATCTCCGACTTGCGTACAGTAGACACTTAAATAGGAAATAGCAATGCGGTACTTCTATATTTTAACGCAAAATAACCGTTTGTATATGCAACCGCCGCCCGAGCCTCGTTTACACAGTCTGCCGGCCACTTTGTTCCCGCTTTGGTTTTTAAACCGCGCGGGCAGTTGTATTTAATAAAGAACTCCCTTCTCTTCTTATCAGCCGGAGAAATCTGGTATCAAGTTTCGGGTCACATGACTTCCCCCGCCAACCCCCAGCGCGCCCGAGATGTGCCCACACAGGCTGAGTTTTCCCAACCGATTATGTTACGATACGGCGGTGCGGACTGGAGCGAGCACGGAACGAGTAGCCTTGCGCGTCGCCGGGGGTGGTATACTGGATGTGGTGCACCGCGCGTAGATAATGCTTTTACTCGAATAAAACAAGAAAAGGACGCAGTTAAAATATTAACATCATATATATTTGTATCCTGGTCATGTGTGAGATACGTTTTTTTAGACAGACGTGTGCATTTTTGCATTTTCCAATAATTGTTCACACAAACAACACTTCGCCATCACCAGCCACGACCAATTCACCGGGCAGCAGCGGATTATTATTGGCTATTCCGTGCTGACGATTACTAAGCACGATGAGAACCGATGTCACGATCAGAACCGATGTCTCGTTGTCCTTCCGACGAATATCACTGTCCACAGTTTTGTCTCGAGAGTCGGCGGTCCAGTCCAAGGCTGCGTTTGTTAAACAGGCCTCGTGCTGGTGTCCCGTGATGGGATAAACCGCCCCTTTGGTCGTGACAATCGCTCCTTCTGCTGCCTATAAGCCAGTGACGTGCGGTGAGGTCAATGGCTGGGGAGGCACTGGCTGGTATTAGAGCCAGATTTACACACTGAAGGGGGCGTGGCCTCACTGAGGTGGGCGTGTTCTCACAGAGGGGGGGGCGTGTCTGACACGCCCCCATCAGTGAGGCAGATGTGATAGCTGCCTCCCCTGGTGCTTTTTCATTGGAGTTTCATGACGAGACCAGCGAACCTAAATATATTTATACACATACGTGAAATAAGTTACCTGGAGTATGGAAGGCAAGGACATGAAATGAAGGGGTCTACAAACATTACATTGGTGACATACTGAGATAGTAACAGGCACACGCTTATTGCTCGCGCTCCATCCAGTTAGTGAGGGGTTGCGCAATCAGAGGGGAGGCTGAGCTCGTCACTGCCTCACCTTTCGTCTTTTCCTGTATTTGCAGCGGAGCTCCGCAAATTTGGCGATTTTAACTATAAAAATGATTGGAATCGTACAGAAATGGCATTTATAACACAGATCAGTGGAAAAAATTTAAATTTTTAGTTGATTCTTTTTCACTTTTCGTAACAGCTAATTTCATTGGAGTATGACAGGTGAGGCTGTGCTTCCCCTGTCTCCCCTGACCGCACGTCCCTGCTATGAACCACAATGTGCGTGTGTACGTAGGCAGACTCGTGTTCCTAGCCTGCACGCAAACTTTATATTTTTTCTCAGATGAGTTTGCTCATCGCTTACAAGAAGTGATAGAACTCTAGTTGACATATTCCACCACCGGTGAATCAGCGGGTTCATAATGGCCTTGTCATAGACACCGAGCCGTTACCGTTGAAATCATCGGTCCGTTCTCAAGTGCTGTAAATTGATGATCTCAGCCCGGTCACCAATGCGTGCACATTTGTATTATAAATTTTGATTTAAAGCTTTCGTGACTGCAGTGATTCATATATATTTGTATTATATTAGAGGAAAGGTGTGGCGTTTCTTTGAATACATAATTTGGTTAAATCCCTTCGCTGAAAATAAAAACAATTCGCTTCGACTGACGTGCAATAAATACTTTGCAGGGCACATCCAAACGACACCCCTGGGAGTGGCCAATAGCCGCTCTGTGATATCATCTTCCGAGGGCCGTTATTCCGACGCGTCTCGAGTTTGGAATTGGGAAATTATTCGGCGCGACGACGACACAGGAATGCTATGGGGGGGGGGCCCTAAAACAGACGAGCAACGTGCGCATATCGGCGCGTCGACCAGCAGCGTGGTCGACGCGAGTGGCCTCCGCAGATTTCTTCCTCGAGATTCCTGCGCGAGGCGACACGCGGAGAGCGTCACGTGACCGCGCCGATATGGCTGTGTCACGTGGCCTGGATAGTGGAAGTGGGGTGGGGGGAGACCGGTGGGGGGTGATGGTGGTGGGGGGGGAGTGAATGGGATGAAGAGGAGGGAGGGGTAGGGGGCTGTGTGGAGATGGTGGTGGTGTGGGGGGTTGTGAAGAGTGGAGTTGATGGGATGAGGAGGGGTGGGGGGAGTTTGTTGTAGATGGAGAGGAGGTGGAGGAGTCGTTGGAGAGTCGCTGTGGATGTATGATGAAGAGGGCCGGTGGGCAGGGTGGAGACGGGTAGCGGCTCCAGAACTATAGATAGAGTGGCGTTCGTGGTGGCAGCTGGGGGGAGGAGCAGGCAAGCTCTAGATGGGGGAGGTGGGGAAGGGGAGAGGACGGTTATAGGAGTGGGTGCGGGGAGACGTTGGAGGAATCGGAGAGCGCGGCGCGGAGAGGAGAGAGGGTGAAGAGGAGTGGTGGTGGTGGTGGTGGCTGGGGGAGGCTGTGGCGTTGCCCGTATGGTGTCGTGCACTCGTGCGCTCCAGCGTACGGCAGCAGCACGCACGCACGCGCGGACGCACGGGCGCAGAAGAGGAGAGTCAGACAGCTGGCTACAGTTAGACACACGGGCAGAATAGGACACGGGGACATCGACTGACAACGCGGAGAGACGCAACACAAAGACTCGGGGAGAGACAGCGAGAGAGAGAGAGAGAGAAAAACACAGATCCACAGGCCCACAGAGAGACGCGGAGAGACAAAGGTGCGGAAAGACACGCGGACGAAGGGACAGACGGATACGCAGACCGAGGGACTGAGAGTCGGAGGGATACCCCCCCCTCCCCACCCAGCCCCTAAGCCCAGCCCAGGCGAGGCTGCCCCTTGACTGCTGCCCCCCAGCACCGCGAGGAGGGAGCCCGCATGGCCGAGCGTGGAGGCGACGCGGCCCCGCGTCTCCCGCCCGACGTGAGAGCGCGCCTCGCCGAGCTGGAGCTGGAGCTCTCGGAAGGTACCGAGAGGGATTTAACTCTCCCGCGCTCTCCCACACCCTCTTCCCCCACCCGGCCGGCCTCTCTCCGCTCTTTATCTCCCTCGTCTATCCCCTTCCCGCCCCAGCTCGCTCCCTAAATCTCCACGAGTTTTTCCATCTCTCCGCTCTCGCTGCGGAGTCCTCGTTATCTGTGTCTTCCCTTCCCTCCCCCCCACCGAAGCTCTCTAATCTCTCCCAGCTCTCTCTCTCAGCTCTATATGTGATCTTCGTGTTGTCTCCATTATCTCGGCACCGCGCTTCTAGCTGTACCCGTGATCTCCCAATCCCTGCTCGCCCCCCCCCCCCCCCCCCATCGATCTCCGTGCATTCTCCCGTCGCCTTTAATATCTCCCTAATATCTCCCTGCTTCCCATACTGTCTCTCGGTTATCGCCGCTCTCCCTCCTCCCTTCTCTGTCCGTTCCCCCACGTGTGTCCATGTACGGGGGGGGGTCATTGATGCGCAGCCACTGACGCGCGTGCATATGCTGATATGCATAATGATGGGTGGGTGCGATACGTGCATTGAGCAATGTGTGTTACGTGCAACGGCGCTGCGCGTGTACATGCACGGACCAGTTTGTGGGCACGTGCATTGCGTCGTAGTGTGCACACGCAGAGAGGCTTAGTGGCGTGCGCATGCACAGGTGTGGAGTCTGCGTGCAGGGGTCATTTGCAGCAAATCTTCTGCGTATGCGCGCGGACAGCTGTCGCGTTCGCATGCACGCAACGAAGACTGCACACGGTAGATGATGAGACGCGTGCGGTGAGCGCGGTTGCTGTTGATGGTTTCCGCTGCCGATTTTGTTCGTGATCATTGCGAGCATCGCTTTTGTGCGAGAGAGTCAATCCGGGTCGTTCCGCGCGGACAAGCTGACCCCCCCGCCATAAAAATGTGGAATTTCCACTTCTGGCTCGGGCTAACAACTGAAGGGCGATCGCCGTCCCAATGCTAGATGGGTGACTTGATTTCACTCGTGGTGGTGGTTGTTGTCGTCGATGGGTTCTGTTTAACGCGTTCGTGGTTGTGTGGTTTATTTGGCTAAGTGGGGGGGGGGGGGGTAGAAAATTGAAGGCCAACAACATCCATTGTTGTGCTGTACTTCTATGCTCCCAACTATGCCCTTTGCCTTCACCCACCTGCACTGACCAGGATTAAGTATAGTAAAATAAACCCCAGCTACCCGCGTTGCGTGTGGAGGCCTTCATCCAGCAGTGGATTGACAAAATAGCTGTACATGTGTGTGGTTTTGTGTGTATTAAGAGAGCGGTGGTGCAGCGGTTAACAACTGAACCGGTCCTGGGCCTCCCCCAGGTCGACTGAGCCTCAAATGAGTGCCTGGTGCGGTGTGTAAACATCGCCACTGGGGATGCAAAGGCAGCCGGGCGTGGTGCTGGCCACCCACCCCTCGTGTGCCGTGCCAGCCCTTTATAGGTGCTCGCTAACAGCACTTGCCTCAACAGTTTATTAAGACCCTACGGGGGATCTTGGTGTTTGTGTGAGGGCCTGTATGGTTATTCAGTTCAATAAAATATAGTATTTATAGAATCTGCATCTCAAGATACTGTACAAGAAGTAGGGCAGCACTGACATCACAAGCCACGTCTGTGTTCGCGCGGGTCTGTGCACACGTGATCCGATACGTGCATCGTGGAGCTACAAAATCGAAGTCAATGATCGATCCATCTCACTCCCTCTCTCTCTCGCTGCTCGAGTCTTTTTCGCGAATCTCGGCCACGGATCCGTCGATGTGGGCGGCGGGGGGGGGGCTGCCCGTTCCTTGCTGCGCTCGGAACGCGCCACGTCTCGCTCCGGTGCGCGTAATCGCGCCGCGCGATGATGACTCGAGGCGTTCACGCGCCAGAAGAAGATCTTTTCCGGTGCCGGTTCGGTGCCAATTCGGTGCTGAAGGCACCTTAGCTTGGGTTTGTTCATTGTTGAAGACACCCAGGCTAATGGTTCATGATGAGACGGACGTTCTACGACGCGGGAATGGTGAAATCACGGCGAGGCCTATCACCCATGATCTCCATCATCATCGTCGTGATGGCTCGGGGAAACTGCTGTCAGCTGTTCCCTTAAAGCGTCACGGGGAGGGCGGAGTCGGCAGTGTCCCGGTTAGAGGGGATCAGCCGCGCACTGTCTTAAAGCGACCGGTTAAATGTGGTTATGTAACGTTCATCATTGCTTTCCGTTTTAACTATTAATATTGTTAAATTGTTTAATCACTCTGAACGGCGTTGGTGTTATTAATATTACGATCTTCATCTTGATGATCATCGTCACAATCGTATTCCTCGTCACCACCGCCAACCATCACCGTCAACCATCATAACCATGGCCACCGCCGTTATCATCTCCATCACAACTACCACCATCATCATCGTCGTGAGAGCGTGGACATTCATCAGAGCATTCTCCTCCTCCTCATTCTTCGTCTTCCCGTCTCTGTTGAGCGGCTGAAATCGACCAAAAAAATAACCGTGCACGAGCTCCCAGCGCCCTCCTCCACCTCATCGCCACGTGCCGAATGCGAAGCAATCTCTGTGCGCGTGTCCCTGTGGGGAGCGGTGGTGCAGCGGTCAGCGCGCTGCTGTGCTACGAACCTGGCCACCCGGGTTCGATTTCACGCTCACGGTCAACAACCGGTGACGATTATCCGACCCAGTCCTGGGTCTCCCTTAGGTCTACTCGGCCTCAAATTAGTACCTGGTGCGGTTTGGACACGTCGCCACTAGGGAGACAAAGGCGGCTGGGCGTGGTGCTGACCATCCACCGCCCTCGTGTGATGTGTCAGCCTTCATAGGTGCTTCTCGCTAACAGCACTTGCCCCAACAGTCTGTTAATTCTGTACGGGGGGATCTTTGCTTTGTTTTGTGTGAGTTCGTCTGCTTGTCTTTGCGGGGAGCGGTAGTGTAATGCTTAGCGCACTGCGCTACGAACCTGGCAACCCGAATTCCATTTCCGCTCACGGCGGCCACAATCAGTGGCGAATATCTGAACCTTCAATGAGTACCTGGTACGGTGTGTAAAATATCAGCGTTGGGGAGACAAGGGCAGCCGAGGCGTGGTGCTGATCACACCACCCAACCCCTCGTGTGCCGTCATAGGTGCCCGTTAACTGCACTTGCCCTTACAGTATGTTAAGGCTATACGGGGGATCTTTGTATGTGTGTGTGCTTCCGTCTCGCTGTCTGTGTGTGCCTCGCACTCTGTCTCTGTCATTTTTAGGCCAAATGCGCCAGGTGAATAATTAATGGGGTGCGTGTTAATTTTAAATATTAATGCGCTCCCATTCACTGCCTATTTATTACTCAAGTGCGGAGAGCTCCTGAGCCCGCGCGTGCGTCTTGCAGGGCGAGGCCGTGACGGGTGATGATGGTGGTGATGATGGTGACACTGGTGGTGCTGGTGTTAATGATAATTACAACCTTTCATTATGTTTGCAATGATGGTCTTCATAATGGTTATCATGCCGGCAATGACGATGCGGCATCATCTACATTGACATTACGTGCACATACAGCTGCATCTCAATGCACACTTAATGATGATTATAATGGGCGTTGCCATGATGATGAGTGTAGCTGGGCTGTGGTGGTGCCTGCGCTGTGGAGGCTGCAGCGAGGGTTAGTGGATCACCGCAGTGATGGTGTGGAACTCCCCTCCCGTAGGCGTCGAGGAGGAGCCATACCCTGGCTCGCCAGGAGAAGGCAGTAAAGCAAGTGGACCGATCGCCATATGTTGCCATCTGTAGGGGGGTGGAGTGTTACCCCCCCCCCCGCACCTTCCCCCCTTGCGCGCGTGGGGTTTCTTTGGATGCTCCGGTTTCATCCCACACGTGTTTTATAAGCTCTGGTCATTAATTGGCTGAAATCATCTTAAAATAAATAAAAACCCAATGTAGCAGCAGGACCCTCCTTAAAAAAAGTGTCCTACGACTCAATGTTGCTTTCCTTTATAAATAAGTGAATTAATATTAAAGTGGTGACGGTCATGATGTATGTGATAGTTCATTATGATGATGGTATTGTCGTGACCATCACTGTGATTGTGATGATTGCATCCATTATCTTGGAAACAAATCTGGTCTGTACTTGTGCACAGTCCCCTTAAGACAATGGGCGTGTATATATATTCTTGGTTCTTTCGGTAAAGTCACTTCAACGTGACTTTACCGAAAGTCCCTTCAACGTGACTTTACCGAAAGAACCAAGAATATGAATCACTGCAGTCACGAAAGCTGTAAATCAGAATACAATGGGCGTGTTTTAGACTGAGCCTCTCTAACAGGGACGCTGGCTCCCATGGCTTCCCCCTGACCCTTTAAGCGACAAGAATGCCCGGGTCCCAGCACTTATGAAGGGGACTGCGTCCACTTAACGTGGCAATGGTCCGTGTACAGACACACACATCGCCTCCCCCTCGTGTCAGTCACAGGCGTGTAGGGACGTAAGTGTCTGTGTATGTGTTCACGCATTCCTGTATGTGTGCGAAGTGCTTACTACGCGTCTGTATGCAATGTGTGTGTGTGTGCTCACGGCCAACACCGGTGACGATTATCTGAATCGGTCGTGGGACTCCCCTAGGTCGACTCAGCCTCAAATGAGTGCCTGGTACGGTGTGTAAACATCGCCACTGGGGAGACAAAGGCGGTCGGGCGTGGTGTCTGGCCATCCACCCCCTGGTGTACCGTTCCGGCCTTCGTAGGTGCTGCTCGCTAACAGCACTTGCCCCTCCAGTCTGTTAAGGCTATACGGGGGATCTTTGTATTTGTGTTATGGATTGGGCAGCGGTCGTGTGGTGGTTTAGCGCGCTGCGCTGCGAACCCGGCGAGCCGAGTTCAATTCCCGCTCACGGCCAAGACCGGTGACGATTATCTGAACCGGTCCAGAGCCTCCCCGAGGTCGACTTAGCCTCAAATGAGTACCTGGTGCTATGTGTAAAAAAAAAACATTGCCACTAGAGAGACAAAGGCG